ATTTTACATAGTTCACTCAACTCTATGGTTACGTCCATGGGAGAGAGAGATTTCACTATTATGAATCAAGGAAGATCATATACAACCACATGTCAAAACCCCACTCACTCACTCATCATTTCTTATGAGGCTACATAAATACACTCAAGAATTACATATACGCTCCCCTCTTCTCATAACACTTACCCTTAAACCCCTTACATCTTTTCTCTCTTCTTTCTCTCTCTAAACCTCTCACACCCATCTCTATTTATAAAGTCTTCAAAACCAAATTCCTTGTTGGACAAGTATTCCCCAACTTGCCTACAAGGAGTCACCATAATGATCACAACTCTAAAATAGAAACATAATGGGATACAATTTTCAGCTTTCCAAAACGGAAAAAAAAAAAAAGAAATTATTTTTCTGCATATGAATTTTAAGCGCCACAAACCCAACATATTTCTTATACCATTTCACAGAGATTTCGAGATTTTTCAATTTAATTAGGTTCTACTCCATCTCCGTGACAATGTTACAAATGTATACACCCTTACAAAATAAGTATATGTTAGAATGAGATTGAGTCTAATGATCTAAGTAATTATTTTAGTATCAAAGCATAAAAGAGATATATCAAGAGAAAAGGCATTGAAAAGGAAACTAGTAGCAAAAGCGTGAAACCTATAAGAAATATCTAGGTTTGTACAAACCATTCTATTTCAAATGGATAACATTTAATAATTTAAATTTTATTAGATTATTGTTTATAAGTAAGGCTACAATCAAGCCGAGTAGTGGGCTGTTTGAGCTCGACTCGATCTGCAGCAGGAGTATGTTTGAGCTCGACTCGATCTGTAGCAGGAGTGTTCAAGCTCGGCTCAAGCTCGAATCGAGCCTCGGTTTCATTGTTTGAACTCGGCTCAGTTGTGTTCGCCAAAAACTCGAGCTCGGTTCGAAATTTTTTTATATATATATATATACACATACACACATATATGAAACACACAAAAACACACATACGTTGAAACCTATCAAAAAGAACCCTTAGACATCAGCACCGTACTTCACATCGATCTTCTCTCAACAATACTCCATCTTTGTATATGTTATGTATATATACACAAATCTTCACATCGATCTCCATCAAAAGAAAAGATAAGAGAGAGCTAATCTTTCACTGGTTCGGTGTTGATAGAGTATTGTTAATAGAAGGTTACCAACTATTATTGTTTTTTAGTTGCCGACGGTGTGAGATTTGAGAGCTTTGGTTTGATGGTGGCTTTCGTCTGCAAGAGAAGTACATGGTGATTGACGGCTAGGGTTTTGTTTGGAAATGGGCTAAATATGGTGACTGAGCTAGGGATAAAAAAATATAGATATGAGAGGGCTTGAGAGTATCTTGAGATATTGGGTATCTGAAAGGAGTGAGATTTGGATTGGCCTAATAAAAGTGTGAGATTATTAAACACTTAATTAGACCTTTGGTATGTTGGGCTAAACACATAGTATTATATTTTATATAATTGTATAATATATATATATATATATATATATATATTACGAGCTCAAAATGAGTTATTGAGCAAGCCTGTTCACAAATATATTCACAAACTAATGAGCCAAGCATGGAGGTGTTTGAGATAGACTCGTTTAATAAACGATCCCAATTATTATGTTTGAGCTCGGTTCGTTTACTAAGCAAATGAACACGAATTGAGCTCAAATCAAGCCGAGCTCAAGCCGTTCGTGAACGGCTTGGCTCATTTGCAACCCTATTTATTAGAAAATTGAATTTTGAGGTTCAAAAGTTCATTTATAATTTTGTTTCAAATTAGATTTTACTTGTAAGTATAAAAGTAGATATAAATATAAATATATAAAAACAATAATAGCAAATAATAATAGATTGTAGGCTAGTGGTACTCCATCACATTCCAAAATAGAAAGTCGATGGTTCAAGTCTTCATAAGGGCAAAAGTAGGTGCATTAATGTGTTTCTTGGTGCGGGTGAGATTATAATTGTTCCCGCACAAGTCATTTATTCAAGTAATAATTATTATAAGGATACAAATTTGAAAAAACACCTAATTTTATATCAATTCTTATCAAAGTAATGCCATAATGGTAACTTTCAAACAATTACTTGATAAGCACTTAAATTTGGTAAGGTTTTTGAAGTTACTGATTAAAAATTACACATGAACTTACATTGGTACAAAGTAAAGGTAGAGTATTCCTTATCTTTAACCGTTATTAATTCTAGTGGACCACATTCTGAGGTAAAATTTAATTAATTGTCTTTTATAAAAGAATAAACGGTCAGATACTAAGACTTTGTAAGAATGAATGGTGAAAGATTATACCATATAAGTATGGAAAATTCTTACGAGGAAAATTCTTTATTTCTCATACCATTTTACGGAGATTTCGAGATTTTTCAATCAAATGAGCTTCTACTCCTTCATTTCGTCGTAATCTGAGGATGTTACAAAGGCATAAACCTTTGCAGAACCAGCATATGTTACCATCAGATTCAAAGACCGAGTCTGATGATCTAAGTAGTTATTCACAAAAAAGAGATATCGAGGGAAAAATAATTGAAAATGAGACTAGTAGAAAAAACATAAAACCATGTAAGGAAGATCCAGGTATGGAAGCAATTGTGTTTTAATATTTTCTATTTATTCATAATTTCCATCCTTAATTTTTACACTTAATTTTGGTACCTATACATAATGTGTGTGTTTTTAACAGAGTCATGCTGTTGTGTCTAAAGTACAATTCTAATTTCACACTTAGAAATGTAGGCATGTAACATTTAGGACTTATTTAGGTCATTTATATGAATTTGGTTCTAAAGAATTATATATATAAAATCAGTTCTCAAAGACTCTAAAAATTATGTAAGATTTAATTTGATGGACTACACATTGGGTTGTTCAATTGATTCCGATCCAATTCAATTGTTCCGTGCAGATCATATCGATTATTTAGCCCATTACTTCGGTGATGGATTCATAAAATAGAAATCCTTAGGGATAAGATCGGTTCATAAATATTCGATTTGATTCGATCCGAATTAATAATATAATATATATCATAATTAAAACTCATCTATTGGTCCGTCGTCAAGAAAAAAAATATTTAACGGTTTAGAAAACCCAATCTGATTTAGTCACATATTTTATTAATCGAATTAGATTAAAGATTTTCACAGATCGAATCGAATTCAATTTTCGATTTAGGTCCTATCTATAGTCACCCCTGCTACATATGTTATTATCTAATGATTTCTATTTTTTTTTACCATGATTCAATCAACATGTCAATTAAAAATCACATTGCAGTTCACATTAAAGTTAGTGGGCTGATATTTTCAGGGCAGTCCAGAACAACAACGAAACCCAACATGTACTATAAGAATTGAAGGTAAGAATAGAATAATACCTATTTAAACTGGATCACTGCATGTTCTACTATCGAATGAAAAAAAAGGTGGATCATATTCACTTGTGAGTTGTGTCTTGTGTGTATATACAAGAATAGTCTAATAAATATATAACATAATTAGTGAGCATATATATACAAAAACATTATATTACTCCCATTTTGCTTTCAAAATGGACGGCCTAGATTTGGCTAATGTGAAACTCTATGGAAAGAGCACATGGCAAAATTGTTGAAAAATGAAATTTTTCTAGGTGTATCTTGCATTCGCATTCATCACGCTACACGGTCATATCGGCCTATAATGCATGTTCATCACAAAATTTTCTAATGATAGTGTTTAGAAATATTGAACCAGTGCACTGAATTTAGAAATATTAAACGTGTTTTTACCGCATTCGTCACACTCCAAGTCGAGTCAAAAACTCTGGCATGCCCGCGCACCCGAAGAGTCGCAAAATCATTCTAACACATTACACAATGTCTCAGTTTACTTCAATATATCACATTCCCAACCCCTAGACCAGTAAATTGTTCATGAGTTTCTGCCTTTCTTAATCATATTTGTTTTGTCCCTGCAACAATTTTTTTTGTAACGCATGCAGACGAGGTGATCAAACGAGCAGAGATGTATCAAGAATGCATGAATCAGATGAAGATCCCAGCCGCTAGCGGGTCAGAGATACCTTTCCATACATGGGAGGAACAAGGCAAAGGCATGAAACAGAAATACGGGCAGCCCTTGCACTATCTCACAAATGTGCAGCTGAAAAAATGGGACGATTCGACAATTGGCACCAAGAATGAGGATCAGCCTATGGACAGCATTATACAGCCTTCTAAAGCTTAGTCCACCATCTGGGTCATTGAAGAAATGCACAGGCACAACACATCTCATCACTATCTGGCTGAGCTTTGGCTTGCAGACCCCGACCATCATGCTTCTGTTGATCCGGATGTTCCGAAACCTGGATGACAGATTCTTTTCAGGTATGTCTGCAATATTGATGCTCAGGAACAAAGTGTGCAATTTAATATGGATAGTATGCTGTATGACATATATAAGTGTGTGATTTTATATGTATGGTTTGCTCTATGACATATATATTTGGATTTAATTGGTGTCTTTCAAATTTAAGATGAAGCTAGTTTTTCTTTCACACACACATATATGCTGCATATCTAGTATAAACTTATATACATACATATAAAGAGAAAACTTCAGATATTTGTAACATACTTAGCTTGTGAGATCTGTGAATCCTTGAAATTGTCTGCTTTCAATGTTGTTCTGGAAACCTTGCTTGGTGACTGCTTTAGTAGCAGCTCTTTCTACCCACAGCCTCCACAATCCTGCAAGAGAACTGTATGCCCAGATAAAAGGTCCATAGAAAGATTTAATACAACTTTCATATATATGCTCTGATTTTGTGCTCAAAACATAAGATAAGAACTGTTGAGTCACAGATTTATTTAGTATGGAAGCTCACCTGAAAAGTAGGATCATCTAACACATATCCACAAAATGCAAGAGAGAATGACAAACAATGGACAGTAATAAGACAACAGAATTCATGAAAAGCAAACTATATATATTGATGCAAAGAAAGATATAGCAATCTCCAAGCAAACATCTGGTTGCTGGACATAATGTAACTACATTAAAGGGTAAAAACTGAAATTTCTTATGCCAGCAAAGTTGGAGGTAAGGAAGGATTCACAATAGAACCAAAAAAAAAAAAAAAGAAATACAACCTATAGAATGATACTCCAGGGTCAAGCAAATACAAACTAATTTGGATGTTGATGTTGTAAGATATAAGAGTAGTTCCATAAAACTGATGCATTGCTTTCTTCAGGTTTTAACAAAAAAAAAAAGAAAAAGAAAAAAGTATCTACTCCCATGAGATGAAGAAAAAAATGCCTTCACCACGTTATTTTGTGTTATTGCTATTTCTGTTGTGAGTGTGAACCGATCTTTTATGCTTCACATTTATTTAATATCCGGGAAGAATTCATCTTCCGTCCAGAATCTGTACATCTCAAAGAGTCCTGAAGGAAAGAAGTCTTCGCCTCTCGAGCTTCATCTTCCGGGTATTGTCAATGTTTATGGGCTTCAAAAGTCTCTCTACTCCAGTTTCGGTTTGCAGCAAAGATTGCAGCCTCCTTAAATGTCCACTACACTGCTTATGTTCAGAAGGAAGAGTGTTGTTGCTTCTTTCATCCGCATTAAACTGTCTCTGGTAGGGAGACTGCCACTTTGCTTGCAAATAAGCAAGAGATCTCCATGGAGGAAGAGGCATTGAGTTCTGCTTGAGAGAAGATCTAGCAGCTTCAACCATAACTTGAAGAAACTGATTAAGCTTGGTCAAAGAGCCCACATAAACAACAGGAAGGGAATTCAATATTCTATCATAGGATTCAACAGCTCTAGCTATCTCAAAATGGCTTCGAAAGTCAATATCAATGATCATACGCTCAGAACCTCCAGTATCATGGTAATTGATCACATCAATATATTCATGATCCCCTGCATATATATAAAATAAGATTACAAAATTCAGAACGAATAAATTAAAAATAAATTTTATATCCAGGGCATTGAAAAATAAAAATTGCAACGCAGGACAAAAGCAAGCTTCAAGACAGATCCAACCGAAAGATGCAAATTGAAAAAAGAAAAATCTCCTACGCCTACACCATGTTAAGCAGATTGAATACAACCGTACTAGACAACCACAGCAGTCAGAATGTCATAAAATGTATGGCAGTTCCAGAGATAAATGCAGATAAAATTTAATATGAATATGAAAATTGCATATATACCCTCAGTTCAGATATGAAAAAACAATTTCTGCCAAGGATGGTACAGTATGGCTCCAATTTGCATGCTGGATATGAAAATCGCATATAAACTCTCAGTTCAGATATGAAAAAACAATTTCTGCCAAGGTTAGTACAGTGTGGCTCCAATTTACATGCGGCAGAACAAATGAAACACGTTATGGTCTCTTCTGCGTTCACAAGGTCCTGAAATTTAGAATGTTTACGCATGTAGTCCACGTTATTCAAAGGCCGATGGCAACAACAATTTAAACGTCTAAACTTTGGGAGAAATTAAACGAAGTGGTTTCCCTCATACTAAACTGGTGCTCTCACACTTGGCTGCCCAAGCTTTAACCCCTACACCAAACATTGGCCCTAACAGCATACACACACTGGAATGTTCTTTTTTTTTTTCCCACTAGGTTATAATGTTATTCTTGTTATTCTTTTTTTAAAACCAACGGGCCAGTGGCCTAGCGGTATCAAACCCTTACTTCCCAAAAGGAGGTCAAGGGTTCAAGCCTCCGCGGAGGCATGTGTGTGTGAGTACCAATTATGAAAAACGTTATTCTTTTAACTCCTAGATGAACACCCTTAAAGAATATATAAGGATTTGGGCACAGGCTTAATGAATTAAATGACATACCTCCAGGGACCTTCCCACTACACTCCCACCTAGATGCACACACAGCAGCATCATAACCAGAAAGCCTCAGAAGCTTCACCAGAGAAAACCTAATGCAGCTAGCATTACATGGACCTGGCTTGACAAGGTGAAGGTCCATCTCTATGATAGACAGCACAAGAGAATTGACCACTGAGAGCAGGTCTCCTTCATACTGATCCATTGAGAGCTTGTAATACTGAAAATGGCGGATAACCAACAAAATGTTAGCATCTAATTTAAAACTAATGAGATTCTTATTAGCACCCAATTTTTTTTTTTTGGAAGTTTCATCCCCCCTCTTTTGGGTGTGCAAGGGAGCAGAGAACTACAAACAAAATGAATTCATATATTGTGGTGATGGACCATGAAGATAAAAGTAGCATGCATCCTTCATTAAAGCAGAAGGGAGATTTAGGAAAAAAAAAAAAAAGGAGGAGCATGATACATAAAGCTTGAAGGGATAATCCTACAAAAGACACTACAAGTAAGAAATTTCCTTATAAGAAAGCTGAGACGACAATGAGGACAGTGTCCAAGCTCCTTGGATGCTCGAACCAAATCAAGTCATTTTACTACCAACATGAGTTACCAGCTCAAAAATGTTGCATCTTCAGGAAGAATCTACATATTAGAAAGACCTTTTGCAACCAAAAATATTACCCAACTGATCAAAGTCGCAAGCTTTACTATGACAAAAATATGCTAAGCCCATAAAATATTTTGTTCTCAACAGACTATCATGTTCTGCTGGTTTTTTTTTTTTTTTTTTTTGTTGAAAGTTATGTCCTGCTAGGTTTAGATAGAACAATCTAAGATTTTCACCAATTATTTCATTTTTCAAGCATGTTCAAATTCATCAGATATGTTGTCCACATAGTGCAACTTAATCTTATTAAGTAAAATATAGACCCAAAAAAAATCATGTAGATTCAATCTGCAAGCAGCATGTTTAAGCTCCACATTTAATAAGATACCAAAAAACAAAAAGCACACTCCTTCAAAGTTGCCAGATTAAAAGAAAGAACTTTTTTTTTTTTTTTTTCCCATACCTCTGGTCCTCCACAGTTACATCTTTTAAATGAGATACCAAATCAGAAAATTATATCTTTGCATTGAGGAAATATGTGTTGATCAGAATGAATTACAGAAGATATTCTTCTAAGAACAGTAATACTGTTGACAAATGAAAAATGACTCATAGCTTCAATAATCACCCTTTAAAACTAACTAGACAGTTTTTATTGCTTATTCATTCATTTGTTTATTTTGAGTTACAAGAAACTTAAAAGTGGGAATCCTTAGATCAAGTATCTCGGGCAGAGAATACGATTTTATGTTTTTACGACACCACCTGCATATTTGGCATCACAGCTCATTACTTGATTGCTTAAATATATATTACTTGTGAATTTAAACACCCAGCATGTATTGGCAGAGGCATAGTCACTCTCATTGGTCCTTAGCAGCTCAGCCGGTGGATGAGTTTCATATTTCATTACCAAAACTTAGCAACTTAAAAATGAGAGAGAACACACACATATCTATATCAAAGTTAGGAGACAGAACATTGAACCTTACGACATATGCTGAATGGAAACCTCAGTTTAAGGGTACTGGAGTCAATAACATTGAAATGCTAACGAAGTTCCAGATTGATATGGTGTCAAATTTCTAAATTTCAACATAGTCCCTAAATTTGGAAATGTTCCACCAAGCTGAGAGATCTGTGTGATCCACCAGAACATAAATGAGTCTTACCAAACAATATAATAAGTTTTATACGCAACCACTGCAAGAAGACTTGTCTGCTACTCTTCCACAGATATTTAACAGAGAATTAAAATAGCATCTGCTTCTGTAAGAACCAGAATAACTTATATCAATCATAATTTTACAAAGATCATCGCTGAAGCATGTCGTTCGAGGAAGGCACTGATAATTGACTGGAAACATTTAGGGGCAAATAGGTTTCGCTTCTAGTTTCTGGTTTTCATTTCCACAAATTTAACAAAAACAACAACTATACCCAGTTTATATCTCCTCTTTCAGAAATGGTAAACAATTTATATCCAAAAATATGGCCTTTAAGATTGATAAACTTCAATTTCATAAGGTTAACATAAAAACACCAGTACAATGAAATGCACAAGACATAAAAGAACACTAAACACATTTCCAAGAACTATGAGAAACAATTTTAATTCTAGAGAGAGACAGAGAGTTTAGAGAGAGAAACGAACCGAAATCTTGTCCGCTAGGTGAGCGAGATCGCAGAACCCCGAGTCGCTATCGCTACTGTACCGCGAGTCGGCACCGCCACTGCCATTTTCTAAGAAATCACTCACCATAACCGCCAAGTCATGCTCGCTCTCATGGCTGAACCCACCGATCATCCCCACGTACTGACCGGCCACTCTCACCAACAAGTCTCCGCTCGCCGCGCACACTCCACAATCCATCATTCCGACCACCCACCTGAATCCACCCCACAATTCCCAACCTCGCCTCCACCGTCAGATCACACCGCCACCGCCATCAACATTCAAATTTCCACCGTCTTTTCAACACAAAATACAAAAAAAAAAACCTAAATCGCCTGAATTATGTAATTTGAAAACCTAAATTTGCATGTATAGAACTCAATTACTAAAAATTATATGAATATATCAAACAATTGAGTCGTTCGATTTACAGAGACGCTCATTTTTCTAATAACGAAGCAGAAAGGTGAAAAAAGAGTGTATGGATCAAAATCGTCAAATTATATTCTTGAATTCTGTATGAATTTGAAATATTAATCAAATTAAAAGCTGAGTCATTCGACTTTAATGAAAGAATTGAAAATAAATTCTCTGTATTGTTCGAAATTGTTTCATTTTGGGGACTGAATTGGTAGTTTTGATGATCCAAAGTGGGTGAGAGAAGGAGAGAGAAAATGGCGTTCTGCAACAACCCAGCGATGAAGAAGACGGAAGCAACGGGAAAAGGAATTTAAGAAACACGGTAATGTTGTGAAATGACAGAAATGGGCTGGGTTTTTTCACAATGACCCAATTGAGGTGTTATTACTTTAATCGAAAGTTTCATAATGTGGATAAGGTGAAATTGAATTTGGGCGAAAAATATATACATATTTTTTTTTGGTTGGAGTCGGAACTCTCCTGAGTATGCCCCTTCAGAAGTCACCCCAGACTGCCAATGATAGTCAAAGCCAAAACCTTTCCAACTCATCCAAGCCCCACATGGGGCTGGACGAAAAATAATTATAAATTCATTTGTGTTAGTTTTTAAGAAAAAACGTTAATAAATATTTAAAAAAAAGTTAATAAATATTAACTGTTCTTTTTAATTGGGATTTTAGGTAACAAAGTTTGTTATACTAATTGTTACCAAATACTAACTAAAAAGTATCTAATTGAATCCTAACAAATTATAATCTGTCATGCAACATGTGTATGGCTAAAAAATAAAAATCCTTTCTTTTTTTTTTTTTTTTCCACCATACCGCTACAACTTGAGGAGTAGCAAAATCTTGTATTTCATGTTACACTGACCAGTGCTATACATCTCAAATTTTAATTCGAGATTATATCTTGAATATGATGTAATCACGTGATAATAACTAAAAAAACATAAATATCATGTTTTTATTCTTTTATACATTTGTGTTTTCTATTTTAAACAAACTAAACAATTATCTTCTTCACTCTCTCAACTTCTGTATATCTTTGTAACTTTGTTGGATCTCTCTTTAAAATTTAACCATAATCAGAAAATATCAAATTAAAACATAATTATAAAAAAATTTAAGTGAATTATGTAAATTAGGATTTTTATTTACGAAAAAGATCGATATCGCTCATACATCGTAAAAAATTGTAAATTTTAGTTTTAATTATTTAAAAATTTAATAGAAAGGATACCCCAAACGAAGATATATAAGCATAATTAAATTCAAATTACTTATTATTTTTATTTTTCCATACAAACTAAACCTGATACTTTTGAATCACTAATTTTTTATTGAATTAGATTATGAAGTAATATAAACTTCTGAACTATCTAATAATTTTATTTCAATTTTTTTGGGTGAACGTAGACCAAATAAAGAAGTTTTGGTCTTCAACTCATTTGTAATCAAATCAATGTGAGTAATCAGGGACGGATCTAGAAATTCATATGAGGGGGCAAATTTATATAGAGGGATTTTTTATAACAATTTTAAAATTTTATAGATATAAATGCAAAAAAGTATAAATTTAGGGATGTAAAATGAAATAATAAAAAATTTCAATGGGTGCGAATGTCTTCACTGAGCCCTTCACGTGCTTGTGCGTAATTATAAAACCATCGAGTGTATGTTAAGGCAAAAATCGCACTCTTGAGAGTTAGGTAAAAGAAAAAGAGAGGAAAAAAAAAAAAAATTAGGCCCCTTTTATAAAATGTTAAACATTTTAATGAAATATATATTAGATCATTTTAACTTGTGCCTCCGGGGCTCAACCAAAAATCTCAAAGCGTTTAACAAGTTGGGGCAAGTCACAAATCAACTTAAAGGGGCACAATGATAATTTTGAGGAAATGAAAGGGCGATCATTTAAGGCCTAACCCCTAAGGGAATTTAGGCTTGAGATTGAAGACCCTACCAACCTTGAGAAGGCAAAGGAGTGGAAAGTAAGGGTGATTGCCTAAAATGGGTTGACGTGATCAGTAGGGCAACCGCCCCTCCCTTTTCAAAGTTTCACAAATTGACCAACGACTCCATGGAAGCCTCCTCCTTCCCTTTTTTCTGTTAAAACTTAATAGGCTTGACTAGTGACGGCTCAAAACTCTTCTAGTGAAGCCAACAGTAGAATTAGTTGCCAAGTCTCATTCAAATCTTGAAAACCCATCGTATAATGTTTACTAGGTAGTATATTAGGATTTCAAATTCATTTTTATTTGATGGTTTGGAATAGAGATTCGTTAAATAGTTGATTTTATTATTATTGTTATTATTATTATTATTATTATTATTATTTATGGTGCTTGTATTTTGATGGGTTGATTTTGTTTTAATGAGATGTTTTGAGTGTGAAAAATTTTCAAGATTTGTTTTGCCCTTTTATGGAATTTTATGGAAGTATAATATAATGTTGAAGTGTTGAAACAAACTTAAATCTCATTATAAAACCAGATAAAATATAGGTATAGTTTGAATTTAGACTGCCGGTACTATTTATTCTATAAAACTTTTAGTTGGGCTGTTTTTTCGGATTGCAAATTATTTAGACTAATATTTCTTTTTATCACTCATATCTTTTTCATCTAATAATTTAGGAGAAAATGATATTTTTGAAGCTCAATAATTTTTTTCTCAATATATATAAAATATCTTAAGAACTTGTTTGTGTAGAGGAATATCACTCACATTTAAACTTTACAAATTAAACTCCCATTTTCAGTATATATAGGCAAATATTCTAGATAATAAAATTGGGTGGACGACATAATAAAATTCTACAAAACTCTTCACCCTTGTATTTACCAAAATAAAACATGAAAAAAAAAAAAAAAAAAAAAAAAATCCTCATTACCCTTCTAAAATCTTCTTCAAGAAACACTACAAAACTATTTACCGTTCTAAAATCTTTTCCAAGGTGCAAGTGATTTGATGTGTATAATTATTACTAATGTTTATCTTTTTTTTTCAAAAAAATTGACTGGGTTCCTTTGGTTTGGTCGTAAAATATTTTTTAAAAAATATTTTTTTATTTTTTGGTGTTTGATTGTCGTAAAATATTTATGAAGAAAAAAAATAAATAAATTTAACAAAAATAAATTATCCATCAATTTTCGACAAAGTTGTTTTACATGCCCTGCCTTATAGACTTGACCTCAACCACAAAGTTGTTTTACATGCCCTGCCTTATAGACTTGACCTCAACCTCGACGTAAACCTTTGCCAAGCACCGTAAAAATAAAAATATATATATATTTTACCTGAAAAAAAAAAATTCTAAAAAATAATATTTTACGTCGTCGAAACAAATACAGTTCTAGTCATTTTGGTTTTTGGTCAAAGATGGAATTAGGTGGACGACATAAATACTCTTAACATATCATACTTTTTTTATTCTCTCTCTAGTGTCTGTTAGTTCTATTTGCACACTTGTTCATGCCTATGTCAATAGATTAAATTCGAATTAAATCAACCATAATTTTTATTTTCTCATTTTGTGATATTTCTCTTCTCAACCAATGTTTTATATATGATACTAAAGATAAGTGGGGTTGGGTTGGAATTGAATGAGTTATGTTGAGTTTGATTCCATCAAATTAAAGAAATGTGAGGTGATTGAATTGAATATGGTGGTGGAGTTTGGCTCGATTTTCGCTTTCTAAGCTCGAGACTGGTGTGTTTGTCGATCTTTAGTAAATTTCTAGCCGGAAAAATCAAGAATGGGATCAACATTGATTAAGAAATTAGTTATTAAGGAGTCTTCGTCATGACTCGCAACTCGCAAACAGAGACGGATCTATGTACAAGTCTTGCCCCCACTAAATTTTTTTACTTTTAGTATTCCTTACTATTTTATTTATTTTGATATATATACTTATAAAATTACACAATCACCCTTACTAAAATTACTAAAAATTACACTATTACCCCCTCTCATACAATTTTCTAGCTCCGTCCTGCTCGTGAGCTTGTAAAGAGTTGAACCTGAGGTGCATGATTTTCGATCTCTTAAAACAATGATGAAAAAGTTGGATTTAATTACACTCCTAGATAATGCGAGAACACGACACCTCAAGAGCGGGAGTGTTACAATGTCCTCTTGAGGAAGCACTACAGATTCAATTTCTTTTGTTAAAAAAAAAAAAAAGGTGTTAGCACCTCATACCATTGTCGGCCAAATGAATCAATCAAGGTAAGAAAATTTCTGAAAGTGATCCGAAGACAATTGAAGCTCTTCACTTCTAAAATAAGATGACAGTTTTTTTTATTAGACTATATCACCTTAAGTTGAAGAAAAATAGTCTATTTATTAGTCATGTAAATCAGCATTCATATTTCTTTTTCCATTTCCTAATGATTTCTGAATTATAGAATGGTTTTTGTTTATTAGTTAGTTTGTGGAAAGAAAGACAAAAAAACAAAGGAAAAAAATACTGATTAGTTGTAATTGGCCGGATTGACCGGGCAAGTATATAGTTTTTCAATGGAAGTTAAGTCTTGGAAAAAGTGTTAATTAATTGTCTTTGAAAATTATTAAATCAGAATGGCCTGCCCCCTTGAGAAAAAGTGATTTCTACACACACAGGACACAATAGTTTCTGAAGAATATTTATTTATTTATTATTTATTATATTATTATTATTATTATTATATTTTTTATTTTTTTTGAGTTTGTGTAATGTTTCTAGAAGTTATTATTAATACCCGAACAAATGATACCATGCAATTTGTTGCTAGCTCTTAATTTGACGTTTATGGGGATGAATGTGAAGCTTGTGATTGACCGTTTTGTTTTGTTTTGTTTTAATTGAAGGTAGAGCTCGTGTTTTTAGCTCTTGAAGTCCTGCTGGTCTTTGTTGCCGTGTTTATTAATTTAATATCTTAATAAAATATATAGGTGACATTTGGGGACATTTGAATGTAATTTTTTTCTTTTTCCAAGACAAAACGAGGTGGAAATTAGAATACAAAAATGGAATCAACAAACAGCACCTTTCTTTCTCACAAGCCAATGAATAGAGAACCAATTTGAAATCCAATTTTTTAACACATACCAATGACGTAACATCAATTTTTTTTTGAAAAATGTATCTTAGTGGATTACTAAAAGTAAATTATCTAACCTAAAAGTTAAAATAAATAAATAAAAATAAACTACATTGGTCGTACGTGTAGTTAGCCAGCCAATTATGACAGACAAATAAAATAAAGCCACGTGAAGGAGAATCCACAGTATCGCTGACAGTATCGTACCTCTCTTGATTACGCCATTGACGAACCTTTCGATATAAACCATGATATAAATTCATAGAAGACACGGCAAGAAATTAAGAGCAGTCTCTTTGAATTCTTAGAAGAGAAAGAGAGAGAAACATGTCAATCGGGATATTGGAGGTGACACTGGTCGATGCCCGGAATCTCAAAAACACAGAATTCTTTGGTACGTACGTTCATCAAATTAATATATGACTATATACACACAAACACACACACCTATATATATATATATATATATATATATATATATATATATGAATTGCTAATATGACTGTGTGTGCGCGCAATATTCTTTTACTTAATTTGTTTCTTTGGTGATTTTGTTTTTCATGGTCGATGAGTTTTGGTCTTACAAAGGTTCGAAGCAATGACCATGGCTTATATGTACTCTTTGTTGAGGATTTTATATATATATATATATATATATATATATATATATATAAATATATCAGTTATTTATAGCTATAGGTTTGCAAATGTGATTGTTTGGATTTCTTCTGATTTCTTGACCTTTTTTTTTTTTTTTTTTTTTTTTCCTTCGTTGTTCTCATTTTCAGTTTCATTGTCTTGAAATTATAGAGATGCTCAATTAATTAATTCGATTTTTCACCTTTAGATTTGTTGATATAGAAGAGTCCCCCATCATCCATGATATGGTTTCATCATGACCATCCAGGCATCCATTAATATATTTTTAAGTCTCCACAGATATAAACATAGAGTATATATATATATATATATATATATGATCCAGTGGCTGTGAGTTGTTTTGGGTTTCTTCTAAATAATAAATGATAGTAATTAAATTTGTTATGGGTAATGATGTATTTTGCTTTTCCTAATTTGAATTTTTTTGGACCGACTGTGAACAGCAGTTGAATCCTGATTATTCGTGGGGGTGCACTAGCTTTTTGGACCAAGTGTCAAGTCGTCAACTATATAAATTTCTTAAATTTGCTGATTTAATTTGATTTAATTATTTATTTTTAAACATGGTAAATAGGTGGTGGGATCGATCCGTATGTGTTGATACAATACAAGAGCCAAGAGCGCAAGAGCAGCGTTGCCCGAGGTCAGTATAATATGTATATGTATACATATAGTATATACGCACATAGATGTAGAAATTTTTATTCAGAGTTTTACACGCATTTTATACATATTATATACACACATTAGTACATTACTCATGTGAAGACAGATCATTATTTTGGCTGTGAAAAAAATATTCCATGTTTATGTCGTACATATGTGTGTATATAAATATACACACAAGTACACCCAATGCATTTGGAGATGAAACCTATCGACTCAAAAGCATGGCTAGAAATGCAGGACTGAATAAATTTGTAGACTGAAAATATACATTAGATGGTGACTGGTCAATGTCAGGAATCTTCTGCTAAACTACTGCTGCAAGGTCTTATAAAGCTGATCCCATTTGATTCCAAGTTCCCTTCTTCTTCTTCATCATCATCATCATCATCATCATCATCATCATCATCACCACAACCATAAGATATTTAGTATGTTTCAAAATTTAAAATTCGGTTGCATGGGTTCAGCCGCAGTGCATGTGATGCACAAGAACTGAACTTGTGTAGTCACAACTTTTGCGTAACACAAGGCCTTTGAGAATCTCTTGGTAATCTTGAAATTATACATCCACCACCACCACAAGATGTTTAGTATATTTTAAAATTTAAAATTCGGTTGCATGGGTTTAGCCGCAGTGCACGTGATTCAAGGACTGAACTTGTGTAGTCGCAACTTTGCGTAACACAAGGCCTTTGAGAATCTCTTGGCATTCTTGAAATTATACATCGACACCCAATGGAATGCTAATATACAATTGCTACCCTTACCCAAAAAACAAGATTGTCTAATTCACTGCCAATAAAACAGATTCTGTCAAATTTTCATCATATTACATGATAAGTTTGGAAAGTCTCTAGTTGTATATATAAGGCAATATAGGGAAAAATGATGGTCTGAACATATTTTTACTTTGAATTTCTCTATAGACATAAAAATGCTGTGTCAATTTCACCACCTATGACCTATCAATGTACTGATAAAAATATGTATTCCATCATAATCTAATTACGCGTGAGTTGTTTCAAATGACATGAATCTAGTAGAGAATTAATTAATCACCAAGACTAAGCTACATCAAAACCAATTGTTGTTTCTAGTAGGAATGGTTTGTTAGTGCATAATTTCCGTACTCAATAGCTATGGCAATATATGAATTAAGCAGGGCAGGGCAGTTCTCCAATTTGGAACGAGAAATTCAATTTCAGGGTTGAGTATCCAGGAGCAGATGATCAGTACAAGCTCATCCTCAAGATCATGGACAAGGACACATTCTCTGCCGATGACTATCACGGACAAGCCACGTAAGGCATCACCGTAGCAGTTTTTACTTCATATTAATGCCAAGCACAATGTAGCTTAACAGTTTTGTCATATGCTTGATTGTTAAAAAGATTTTCCAAATCATCCAAATGATAAGCGAATGACACTTTTCATAGACTCATGCACGAGTACCATACACAGTTGTCAAAACTTGAAACTCATATGTTTATCGACAAGTATGCTATGTGTGTGTGTGTGTGTGTGTGTGTGTGTGTGTTTGATGCTGAAATTGCCAGATTCTCACTTCTTCCCTTGTAAAGGATATGACATTAGTCCGCTTATAGGCATGACATATTTGTCTTGACCGCGTGTTAACTTGACGACACATTGTAGCACCAATGCAAATTCAGTCCTACTGATTTCAAAACTGAAAGATAATAACAGTAAATAACAAGAATTGGCACATCCATCATTTGAAGGGTTTAGTTATATAAGCTACTGTGTGTTTTCCATTTTCGTTCATCTCTTTCTTGTTTGATTCTACTCCATCATGAATCGATTTTCAACCTGCAGGATCTACTTGAAAGATCTATTGGCATTAGGAGTGGAGAATGGAACTGCTGAGCTACATCCTCGCAAGTATAGCGTCGTTGCCACTGACCTAACTTACTGTGGAGAGATCAGAGTCGGCATTACTTTCACCCCTAAGGTAATCTTTTCAGCCTTCGAAAGGAGGTCGCTTGATCAATATTCAAGGAAACCCTACATTTCAAAGTTCCGAGTGACAAACCAAGCAGATCCCTACATTTCAAAGTTGTAACGGTAGCTATTGTTTTGAATGGCTTATGCGGTTGTTTTTTTGTTTTATTTTACAGGTTCAAGAGAACACTGAGAGTGAAGATTTTGGTGGATGGAAGGAAAGTGAAAACTAGTTCCTTCACCAATTAGTCAGAATATAAATCTGTCTCCGTGTATTGATCAGTTGATTGTATTTGGTTTCTACGGGATAAGTAAGTCTAGAGAACTAAAATGTGAGACCATTATGAGTTGAAATGTTTCTTTTATTATCCCAAAGTTTATTCTTATTTTCCTCATCATCTGTGCCATTTTAATGAAATTAAGGCCATTTTTTTTTACTTCTCAAACCATAAAAGATTACATGTGGTGTGTCCAAGATGATGATGGATTCAGTCCATCATGCCAAAATGTGTATTTGCCATGTCCATGGATTCAATGGGATACTGTTTGATGTTTGATCAAATGAAGAATGAAATGAAATAGTCAAAGTCTGATTATCCCATTACATTCTACAATACCAATTAATTACCTTTTTCAAGATTTAATAAATTAATTTTCTTTAAAAGTGAATTTGAAAATATTTTATTAGGTGGGACCCACTTGTATTTAGTCCAAATCCGATGTGGGATAAATCCCCACTTGTAACACTAGGCTATAACCCTTAATCATTTTGCATTAATTGTAAAATCGGAATTTTAAATTTGATTAGATAATATTTGCAAATTTAAGGAAAGTTTGTTTGGAAAAGACTATTAAGTATTAAGTTGACGTTGAATTGAGTGTCCATAGCCAACATGGTTAGTAATTGACATTTATCATGAACTAAATTTGAAGGAACTAAAGAGCCAAGACATCTCTCAACTGTGTAACTTTGGACTTTTTTGTTAGACGAATTAAAACTTTATACGTTTCATATTCTGGAGCATTAAACTTGAACACTATTTGCAATTTTGGAAAGAGAAAAGACCCTATTGAGATTGGCCACCACACAGAGAAAAGACGCTCTTATTACGGTGGGACACAATTCTCTGAAAATAGCTTTAAAACAAATTAGTATATTTTATAGCACAGCCATTCCAATAGGAAGCCGTCTTAGCTCAGCTGGTAGAGCGCGTGGCTTTTAACCACGTGGTCGTGGGTTCGATTCCCACAGACGGCGTCTTAAATAAATTATTAGTTATTTTTCTTTTCTTTTTTTTCCAGACTCGTGACAAATCAAGTGGTGATTACAGTTTCTTTTTCCCAACAGTTGGGATGTTTACGCCGTTCATGGGCTTCACGTCGTCTCGTCACCCCACCGTTGAAATTAATGTAGCTGAGTTCACGTTCTTCTAATAATGCCATTCATATACACACAAATAGGAAATAACCACCCCTCCACCTTAGAAATTCATTGACCGCACATTTTTTTGTTCCTTCTCTACTCTCTTATTCTCTCAACCTACTTTAGTGCCACTCACCTATTCATTACACAGATACATACATATTCATACATATATATATATATATATTAGAGGAACTCTGGGTTACTCCACAACTTGTTAATATTGTTGTGGGACTTAAAACTCATATCTGTTTGGGTTTTGCTTGAATAATGAAATTTGAGGACTTATTGATGCAGCCAAGTGACGAAAGGCAGAAAAGAATCGACCTTGAGGAGGAGGTAAGTTCGTCTATCAATTATGGGAATATGAATTGGGTACCGGGTACCTTGAAATACATTCATTTCCTATTTTTAAGGAAAATGAGGAGTTTTCATTGGCCGGAATACTACATTGTAGATAACCGGGGTATTAAAAGAAATTTCCCAACTATGCAATTATTGTTCTTCTGATCCAAATTCCTATTCACTTTCACTTTAAACAAAAAAACTCTTAGCACAATGAAGCAAAATGGGCAAAGAGAGTGTTTACTGAACTTCACTTTATGTTGTATTTAATTCTACAGGTAGAGAAATTGCAGGAAGAACTAGATGGAGAGCTAAAACTGAACAAGGTTTTGCAATGTGCGCTACAAGGCCCCATTCATTCTTGTCCCTGTCTATCCTCCATCCTTCCACTTAAGGTAAGGATAGTTACCTTGTGCCTGCTTCGGTTTTGGAGTATTCGGACTCTGTATCATTGCTCTTTTATGTAAAGTTACATTTTTGTTATTTTCCGAGTAACCCAATAGCATAGGATTTAGATTCTTAGAATTCATGCTCATAAGTTGTACCTAAAAAAATTATGTTAACAATAACGTACCTGTTGGAACTCTCCTGGAAATCTAATAGAATAGTTTTAGAAATAACAAAAATTGATCGTGGGGATTGGATTGTTCGGTGCAGATTCAGGAACTTCTTGCAGAAATGGCAATGGTGGAGGAAGAAATTGTTTGGTTAGAAAGAAAAGTAGATCAGCTGAAATTCAGTTTGTACCGAGAGAGGAACCAGAGGGAAGAATGGGACTTGCTGCCACCAAAGTGGAGGCAGCATCAACCGAAGCAGTTAATATGCGGGCAGGGAAGCCAAACAGAACTTAAGGATCTCAAACACCTTTCCAGATCAAACAATTATGAAGAAATTAGAAAACACAAATCTGTAAGAGAAAGAGGAGCCTCTCTGGGTTCTGCTATGGATATTCAAAGCAGGTCTTCCACAAGTGCTAAAGGTAAACTTCTTATTTATCTCTGAACAGAATGTTACTGTATACAATCCATTACATGTGCCATTGATCAATTATAAAAAATCAATAGTACGTAATACTATTAACACGGAAGAGTTTGAACCAAATGGGAAGCCGAAAGCTCCTCATTCAATGGATACACTCATCTGGTTCCACATCACCCTCAATAAATTGTGTCCAACGGATATGAAGTCTTCGACTCTCCATTTCTTTCAATCTCTTGGACATTAAAATCATTATCGAAAATCAAGCCTCTAGGCTCTAACCCTTTTGATTTGGGATGTGGGAACAGAGGAAATTGTTGAAAACTCGAGATATCTGCGAAGAAGCCGAAATCATAGCCATCTAGATATAGAAATTGTCATTGAGAACCCAAATAAACTCTCAGAAGAACTTCTTGAGTGCTTGATAGGGATATATCTCAAGCTGAATAAGGTGTCAGTAGACAGCAAAGGATCAGCTGTTGCTCCTAAGCATGCTCTCTCCTGCATGAATCCAAAAGGGTTGGTGTCAAAGACCACATTCAACTGCAAAGCACCCATATTCTCATTTGATGACAACGTATCAAGTCTCGACCCTTATCGTATACTACCAGATTTTGATGCCATCAGAGATGTTGGACCATACAAGAATTTCATCCAAATCACAAGAAGTTCATTGGACACGAGCCGTGTTACTGAATTTTTTTCAGCGATAGGAAAATCGAGGTAACTTCAAGTTTTTCTATGCACAAGGTGATTATATTTTGCAACTATGAAGAAGATATTTAAGTTGCTCTTTTCTTCTAGGGATTTGATGAATAGACTCTGCAATGTGGACTTAACTTTCCTGAACTACAAGCAGAAATTAGCATTCTGGATCAACATCTACAATGCCTGCATAATGCATGTACTGTAAGACATCCTAAGGCACATCAATAATAAACCAGATATGTATCACATATAGCAGTATGAGTAATTAATTTTCTATTCCAGGCATTTCTACAGCATGGACTGCCTTCCACACAGGAGAAACTGCTGGCACTTATGAACAAGGTATGTCCACGTTCGCAATAATTGAAAAACTTCTCATGTAGAATCAGAAGCATGCAAGGCCTTAGACATTTGGTTGCCTCATGCCTGAGCTTTCCGAAAAGGAAAATGATTCTTAAACCGATTTCTCAAACTGATGTGGATAGCCGGAGGGTATCACTTTGATGCAGTGGATGTGACCCACACTTGAGTTTATGCATTGCATCAAGGTGGGGATTAAAAAAAAAAAAAAAAAAAAACCTTCGGCTACACACATAGGCTAGAGAATAGGTCCAAATAGCATTGTTCTTCAGAAAAACTATTCTACAATATAGAAAATAAGCGAAAAAACTAATTAACAATGACAATTAAGAAATTCCCAATTTGTGTGCTAATATACCATTGTGGTTTCTAATCCAGGCTGCAATAAATGTGGGTGGCATAGTACTTAATGCTTTGGCCATCGAGCACTTCATCCTTCGGCGTCCATCTGATTCTATGCATGTGAGTGTGTATGTATGTATACATTGCTAGTAAATCTGATCTCTTTATATCCACCAATGTTCTGGATTTCAGCATGCAACAAAAAGTTTGACATTGCATGTTATTTTCAAGCAATTTTAAAATCGGGCAGCAGATATCATAATTTTAGTACAGAAAAATTGTGACATGCATCTTAGAATATTTTAGTAAAATCTATGACCCGGAAAGGACATTTTGTGATCCCATCACAATTTTAATGATAACAGAAATTTATGTCAAATTCAAAACTAACATTGGCAAATGTAAAGTACCTAATGAATTCTTGTAGTTCTCTTCATTTACCTTGCAATATCTATATTTACAAGGGCCCAGCAGATGAGAAGGAAATGCTGCTACGACATGCTTATGGTCTGGGGTATCCGGAACCCAATGTGACATTTGCTCTTTGCCGAGGCAGCTGGTCTTCGCCAGCAGTAAGTGCATTTCCTGCTATAATTAATTTCCTGCTCCAAGGTTAATGAAAGAAATTGTGATTTTCCAGTTAAGGGTTTACAGGCCAGACAGAGTTGTGAATGAATTAGAGAAAGCAAAAGTGGAGTATTTGGAAGCCTCCATCGGAATTACAAGCAAGAAAAAGATTCTAGTGCCGAAGCTTCTGCAATGGCACATGAGAGATTTTGCAGATGATATGGAGTCACTACTGGAATGGATTTACAGTCAATTGCCTCATTCTGGCTCACTGAAAAGGTTGATGATGGAGTGCCTAAATGGTGAAACAAAGTCTCCTTTAGCAAAACTAGTAGACATTCAGCGTTATGATTCTGAATTCCGCTACTTGCTGCCCTTGTAAGGGTAACAACAAGAGATAACAAAGATGCTGACTGAACAGTTTAGATCTCAACAAATTGAAAGCATTATAAGGAGAGAAACGGCCATAACTCTGTTCCACATATGATAGTATTGTTCCAATAACATGTACTTTGTCAAGCTCAGATTTATGATTGTTTAACGTTGATAATACCAAAAGTTTGAATTTAAATTTAGTATGACCTATGTTTCAAGCGTGAAACACCACAAGAAAATGGTTTGCTTTCATGAAGAGTCCGGTACTCTACCCAAGACATAGTGAAGAACCACAAAAGCAGGTCACCATACAATATGGGCATTTTGTCTCGAACAAACAACCCTATCATCGAGTTGATTACTCAAAAAATATTAGCATATGCATAAAGTTTTAACGCTAGGTTCATGGTTGAGAAAGACCAATTAGACCCACATGATGAACAATAGATCGAAAATTGCTAAAAAAAATGCAGAATGTAAAAAGAGGAAAACCTAAACTTACATATAATTTCAAGAAGCAATGATCAAGACAAAGACTCGTTATGGAAAGACCTGGAATGCAATCAGATACATCAGGATTACCCATTATGACTCTGTACACATTTCTGCAAGTATGTAGAGAGGTCCTTAGTTTCTGGTAGCGAATAATCCAATGACAGTGACAAACATCATTGTTCAAATCAAACTTGAACTAAAGCCACGATGCTGCAAGGCTAGTTTAGCATTTACTAACTTCCAATCCTAAACTAAATCAAAGCATGTTTGTCATTGACCCACGAAGCTTTTAGGAGTAAGTAATAAAATTTAGCCAAAATATTTGAGATCCAATTGTTGAAAACTTCCAGCTTAAATCAAGAACGCTGATCCAGATGAAAATTTAAATCAATGGGCAACAGAAAATACCTCATTTACTACAAAACTGGTCTCCTGGTAGGAGAGCCATGAAAGGAACTGTATTATTTACTTATAAAACCCCTTAAATTTCTTTGCATTAAAAGCTTTTGTATGATGCATCGTCTTCGGAATAAAAGGAGAGTAAATCAGCATAAACAGGCAGAAAAAAGGAGTATAACTAAGCATCACAAAAGTGCAGTGAGCATCAATAATGGGAAATTCGAGGAAGCGATTAAGCTACAATGCAACTTCACATGTTTGTCATTTCCAATATGATATCAAGATGAATGAGAAGAAGAACAAGAAGAAATTCAATTATAAATAAGAACTGCAGGAGCATCATATTGATAATGAAAATAAATAAATACATGCTAGTTGAGATGGTTCAGAGACATAAAAGTAACCAATTAGCCACCACTAAGAGTAAGATAATGGTATTACCAAACATGACCTAAACCCTCTGCCCCTAACTACAATAAACAATTTAATTGCTTTTCCTGAATTACAATAAACCATTTAGTCTTTGAAATAACAACATTAAACCATTGAATCAATTGATCCTATACCAGTCAAACCATAAATCAAATCAACGAACTTCATATTACACAAAACATCACTACTGACCAAAAATGGTCACTGAAGCCGAATCCCAACTTCAACCCGAAACAGTAAAATACAGCGATGAAATATAATTGCAATTCATCAATGTAATTGCCATATATATATATACACACACACATATATATTTATATGTAACAGTGATGCATCTTTATTATAGTAGTTGCAATGGTGGAAACAGTAACATTTTCTGAAATTAAGGGTAGAAATGTACTGATAAAGACGGAGGACTCCAAAGCATAGTATCAGCTCTGGAATGGCGCCCAATTTTGAGAACATTATTTAGCATCTGGTTTTGGGTTTGTTTTTATGTATCAAAAATTCTGATCTTTACGGGGGAGAGAGAAGAGATGGGTGTTTGCGAAGTCGAAGCCGATGTGATCGGAGATAATATACAATTAGGGTCTATTTGGCATCAGGGGCACCTATATCTAATTGTTGACTGAATTATCTTGCACATGTTTGTGTTTTTGTTTTAACTTGAAACAAAGTAAATATTTCTTTTTATTTTGAATACTAATTGAATTGAAAGTATGTTTAGTAGTTCATTTATTCCAAAATTATTGAAAGGAAAAACATATTTAGTAAAAAAATAAAAAAAAAATAAAAAAATAAAAAGTGTTACAAAATTTAAAATATAATTATAGTTTAAAATTGTCATTTAAGAGTTTTTAATGGTTTAGAATGGAGTAACTCATGCAGTTAGGAAATTTGTATTGAGCCATGGCCCATGGAGCTCCATCTTTGGTGTTGAGTCGTTTGCCGCGTTGTAACCGATTTTTTTCTCCATTTGTTGTACTTTTTACATTATTTATAATGCCCCCTTTGAAATTGTTGACCATAAAATCGACTGGTTAGAGCTGATTCTAATTTGATGTGTACAGGCGTGCCAAAACTAGCAATGTGGTTCGAGTGTAAGTTGTCAACTGTAGTCTCTTTGAGAATATTGACTATCAGGCGATGCAAAAAGAAAGACAACAAATATACTCCTCTATGAGTTCAGTATTGTCTTAATGAAAAGGACTTTTAACTAGGGGTGGCAAAAGTTGACACGACCCGCCAACACGGCTCGAACACGACACGAGCTAAATGAGTTTGGGTTGACCTTAAACGGGTTCGTATCATAAACGGATTGACACGATTAACCCGTTTAGTTAATCGTGTCGTGTTTGGATTGAGGGGTTCAACCCGTGTAACCCGTTTATACACGTTTAACTATATATGTTGTAAATAATTTTCTATTTAAGTTCTAAAATTACTATATAAACTCGTGTCTTATAATTTAATCTTTTGTAAACTATAAACTATTTAGTAATTTGGTTGATTAAAACTTATATTTTTTTTAGTATTTATTATTTTATTGAGTATTATTAATAATTTAAATAATAATTATTATTATTATTTTATAAATAGGTCATTAAACGGGTTACACGTGTAACCCGTTTAATAAACAAGTCGTGTTAGTGTTGAGAGTTCTCGACACGATTATTAAACGAGTCGTGTTCGGGTTGAGTTATTTAGTCTAATACCCTTAAGTTGATACGACACGATTACGACCCGCGAACATGAATTGCCACCCCTACTTTTAACAGCAAATAAATATAGTAACCGTTTGAGAATATAAGGAGAAAATGTAGATATAGAAAGTGATAAGGAGAAGAGATAGAAAGAGACTGAAATAGAGAGGGAGAGAGATAAAGATAGCAAGGATGTTATATAAGGAAAGAGCTTGAGAAAGCAATAATAATAATAAATGTTGCTGAGGGTGTTGAACCTCTAACACAACATGCCTCTACAGCCCCCGGGGCCTAGCAGTGATGGTAAGGTGTTGGCTTGAGTCATCACTCGGCCCAGGTTCAAGCCTTCCCCCCTGCTAAGATTCTCTCGACTCACCCGGTGTATGGTGGGAGCAGCCCTACACCTCTAGTTTGGTGCCACATGTTGGGTCTGTAAGGGCCGCTTCGTGGGGAGTTCTGGGTTATCAAAAAAAAAACACGCCTCTACAATTATTTATAGAATAATACATAGAAACAAACTCCTATATGCAAGTATTTTACTTGCATTACAACTCTCTCACATAACAAAATGTAATTTCAAAATAAATTAATCTTATAGATAAACATAATATTTAACTAAAACCAACTAAAAGATAAATACTAGTACTATGATTCTTATCCATTAGTTAATTCAAAAGCTTCTATCATCTCCACCATTGGCATGCAATATTAAACCACGTAACATTACTGCCCAATTTACTTCAAACCAATTGCCACGTCACTGCCCAATTTACGTCCATCCAATTGCCACATCATTGCCTAATTTACCAAAAAATGTGTGAACAATGCCCCCCAATTTTAAATGTTTTATCAGTTGTCAGCCGCCCAAGCTGATAAGATATTTGAAATTTAAAGTACATTTGATGGAAATTTTGAGCAAGGGTTGTGCTAGTCATTTGGAATAAGATTGCAAATCAACAAGCTCTAAAGCTTTATTTCTTCTGAATTACCCCTAAGATGATCTTTATTTAGCCAAATCTGCCTATTTAGGTTTCTTCCTAAATTCTCAGAAAGTTTACCCATATCATCAGCCTATAAACCTAGGAAGGACTTGCCCCCCATGCGTTTTCTAACTCCGATAGCAAATCATGATCATGATTAGCAGGAATTAAATTATTATGAAACGTCATTCTAGCCGATCTGCCTATTATTTCTATTAGATGAATGACATTGTGCCAGCAAAGAGTTTTCTTAGCTGATTTCCTTTCAGTCGATTTGCCTCAGCCGATTTTGCCTTCGGCTCAATCGATAGGACTGCATTATGCCAAAAAATCCATTTGGAAAAGACACTACTACAGTATCCAACCTAAAATAAAAACACCAAAATCAAAATGCGTACCAAAAAATCCCAAGCAATTAAGTAAGTGGAATAAAAGTAAACCATTTGTTTTATTGTTTAGAAGATTTATTTTTTAAAAATGATAAATGGAAAAAGAAAAAGTAATCTTTTCTAGTCATTTTTTATAGGGTAAAGTGTAGAAAAATTTCTGAACTATTGTCCTTATAAATAACTCCCTGAATTAAATATTGCGCCCTTAATTTTTAATTTGTTGCAATTAAGGACAAACTTATCACAAAAGACTATTTTACACTTTCTTATTAAAATTGTCATTTCTTATTAAATTATTATTATTTATTATATTTTCTCTTTTTCAAAAATTAATTATACCATTTACCTTAATGTTAAAATTAGTATCAATTTATCAAAAAGATGAAAAATAATAAATAGATATATAGCTACAATTTTCTAAAATGATTAACTTATTATAATAAACTTATTAAACTCACTTTTAAAAAATTAGTGTAAAAAAATACCTTCTTTTTCATACAATATTCATGAAAAATTAATAAATTACGTAAATAAAAAATATCTTCTTTTTTATGCAATATATTCATGAAAAATTAAGAAATTACTTAAATTATTTCAAAATTTTCTACTTAAAATTTTTATTTAAATAATAAATTTCAAAATTAAAGACAAAATTATGCAAATTTAATGGAGAATGTTTCATCAAATTAATATGAATTTTTTTTTTTCATAATTTATTTCAACAAGAAAATTATATTAAGTGTAATATAATAAAAGGGTACTATGGTCATTTAATAAAAAATAGTCAAGGCAATGGAACATTTTACAACCAAATGTGATAGTTGAGGGAGTTTTGTGCAAAAAAATATTTTAGGGGAGTTATTTGCAAATTTAGACATGGTTCTTGATTTTTTTACACTTTGTCTTTTTTTATATTTGAAAGCTAAAATTCATTACTCCTAATAAAACTCTCTTGCAAATATATATCTGTATATATATATACATATATATAATTCTCATTCTTCCCTAACATTGTGTAAATGATTATTTTCTAATCTCATTGAAAAATAAAAACCCCCAACCCAATACACTAAAAAACTTTATTGAAACTTGGAACTTGGAAGTACTAAAAATTGGGAGCAAACTCCCTCGTATGGCATTGCATCCAAAAGTGCCATCCAAAAGTAGGGACAGCGACAAGACTACACATCAGAGAGCACGTGAGTACGTCCGCTTAATAGCACTTCCTTCAGATTCCTTTTTTTCACCATTTTAACCAGTCAACTGAACTCTTGAAGTCCGAAGCACTTTGGTTAGTGCCTTTTACCAAACGCGCCTTTATTGCGAGTTTAACAGGCATAGACATGAGGTCCAAGTCCTGGACTAAAAAGCACTTTGGTACGTTTGTGTCGTCTTGCTTTGCTCACCACCAACCCCAATGTCACTCCCATTTCCACTTCCCTTTTCTCGATCAAACCGAAAACCCTAGACTCCCTTATCCCCTCTCCGCTCCTCCTCCTTCTCCAATTCCTCCTCCAGCTAGGGTTTTATACTCCACATTGCTAAAGAAAAGCAAGTGATTCATCTAATTCCAAGTATGTAAGCTTCCTTTCATTAATTTATCTTATCTATATATCTATATCCATATCTATAATATGCATAAGCTCATGTATGTCGAGGCGATCTATTCTGTTTATTCACGGTTTGGACGATCCTTCACAGCATTTTCAAGTTATGCATGCTCTTCTTCTAATTAGTTACTCATGCAATTGCATTTTTTGTTCGATTGTACTTTTACCTATATGTTTGGTTGCTGAGAAAATGGTGGAATAGGAAAAATTTTGAAAAAAATTGGGTCTTTCTTTGTCTTTGTGTACAGTCCCCTAAGCTAATTCGAATACTCTGGGTGTCAGCTGAGTGCTGGTTTTTTCCTTTTTTGAGTGATGAATCTGAGATCGATTGAGTTCTTAATCTGCTTACTGAGACATGCAAGGTTGTTATGCACAGACACACATGCACTGCTACTTACAGTTTGGGATGAGTTGTCTAATTTTATGAATTAACTTAGTTATGGTCTCAAATGCTAAATATTGCCAGGTCTCTGCATTTTAGTCTTTTTTCTTTTTTTGGGTAAATTTCCTTATTAGCCTTTGCATATCACAACGCACGTTAAAAGATATACCCTTTATTAGCAATTTATAAAAGGAATTGTGCATTTCATCATACATTCAGAACATTGGTTTCCTAAATCTTCAAAAATGAGAAGGCTCCCCCCCCCTCTCTCTCTCTGACACACACACACACACACAAAAGAGTTTGTGCGTGCATACACAAATGTAGGTATTTTATTTATTTTAATTGTCAGTTTTTAGCTAAATGTCAAAAAAATGAGCCCTGTGCATGATCATATTCGTTTTTTCCTTCCTTTTTATTATTTTTTATTTTTTTCAAATATGGTTCCCTTTACATGTGTATATATGCATGTATATGTATTTAAATGACCTCCTTGGATTGAGTCACTAAATTTAGTTTTCCTTTTAAGTTGTTAAATGTGGACACTCAGACTGTTATTTTAGTTTGATGGTTGGCGGTTGTTGTTTCATTTGCCAGGTTCACTTTTTTATAATTTTTTCTGGAAGTTCAATGGGGCATAATTCAGACACTGATATAAGTGAATCTGAAATTGAGGAGTACGAAGTTAAATCTTATGAAAAACTGAAGCGTGGAAAACTTGATTTTAAAACATCAGATGAGACTTTCACTTGCCCCTACTGTCCAAAGAAAAGAAAGCGAGATTTCTTCTACCAGGAAATCTTACAGCATGCAAGTGGGGTTGGCACGTGTAATTCACAAAAGAGAACTGCAAGAGACAAAGCGAATCATCTAGCACTGGCGAAATACTTGGAGAAGGATCTAGCAGTTCTTGCTGGTCCGTCACAACCGGTGGCTAAGGCTAAGGCAGCAGTTGTAGCTGGTCCGTCACAACCGGTGGCTAAGGCTAAGGCTAAGGCAGCTGTTGTTGCTGGTCCATCACAACCGGTGGCTAAGGTTAAGGCTGAGGCTGAGGCTGAGGCTGAGGTTGATCCCCTTGCAGATCATGACCATGATGAGATGTTTGTGTGGCCATGGATTGGTATTGTTGTTAACCTTCGAACCGAGTGGAAAGATGGGCGATATGTTGGGGAAAGTGGTTCTAAGCTGAGGGATCAGTTGATAAGGTTAGGCTTCAATCCCATAAGAGTTCATCCTCTGTGGAACTATCGAGGGCATTCGGGAAGTGCCGTTGTGGAATTTAACAAAGACTGGTCTGGGTTCAATAATGCTATGTCATTTGAGAAGGCCTATGAAGCAGATCATCATGGGAAAAAAGACTGGCAGGGAACTAAGGACGACAAAGGATCCAATCTCCATGCTTGGGTTGCTCGTGCTGATGACTACAAGTCCGATGGGATCATTGGAGAACATCTTCGTAAGACTAGAGACCTTAGAACCATTTCTGATATCATGGCAGAAGAGGCTCGGAAAACTAGTAAACTTGTATCTAATTTGACAAACATAATCGAGGTGAAGAACAAACACTTAGAAGAGATGCAGTTCAAATTCAGCGAGACTTTAAACTCTCTTAGCAAATTAATTGATGAAAAGGATAAGCTTCATCATAACTATAATGAAGGTTTGTACCGATACAATGCTTAATTACTGTTTCTCTTTGCTTACCAGAACTGGATTGAGGGAATCCAATATAGTAAACTATTGGGTAGATCAAGCATGACAGTGTTTAATTGATAGTGCTGTCTGATTCAGTGAAATGTAGCCTATGTTTTTGCAAATATAAAGAAAAATGCTTTTTCTATTTAAATAGGATACAGTTCCTCTTTCTCAAAATGCTATCAAGTAATTGCATAATCTTAATTTTTGACATGCCTTTTTGTATTCACCAGAGCTGAAAAAGATTCAGTCAAGTGCACGAGATCATTTTCAGAAGATCTTTAATGATCACGAAAGGATTAAAGTGCAACTAGAAACTCAGAAGAGTGAGCTTGAGCTGAGGGGTAAAGAATTGGAAAAGCGTGAGGCCCAGAATGAAAGTGATAGAAAAAACCTGTCTGAAGAGATTGAAAAGGTGCAGTATTTCTTGCTTGTACATTTCATATTGGAAATTGTGAGTTTCTTTCTTGCAACCTGGTATAAATAATGAAAAAGTGATTAGCCTTTTTGTCTATAATTCATTGTCAAGGAACTTAGTAGTCATTGATACCATGATAGCTCCATACTTACTAAAGTTGATGAGCAATAGAAGTGATCATTTTCTCTTACTTTATTAAATATTAGTGACGAAAGGAGCAAGATGATTGAATGAAGTGCTAGTGACGATCCTTAAATGATTACATGAAAACACTTTCAGTTTACCAATCAAATGAAATATGATATGACAGCGCACTGTCATAACTGGTACATCGACAGAATAAATTTCCCTAGTTAGAGCCTCATATTGTAGTGTTCTAGCCTCTGGGTCTGTTTTAGATACACTTCAGTGATTGGTTCTACTTATGTCCATTGGATATTCAGACTCCAGAGATAATAGTCCTTTTCTTTTTCCTTCTACTTCCCTTTCTCAATCTGTTATAAATTATAATATGGGTTAGACTAGACATATACTCATCTGTCTTTCTCATCCTCAATGCATGAGTGGAGACATTCCTATCATATGTGAGTGAATGGCTCGACTCTCCAAAGAGGCCTCTTGTATTGCACCGGTGTCTTGGGCAGAACATGTCCCAATTCCAAACACACACATATACATCAGTACTATCAAAAGTATCTGTGTTGGGCAGGTGGTTGTTAGTTGATAGGTGTCATGAGATGCTATCTATGTTGGGTATCATCTAGAATTCTGGATTGTCGAGGTTAAGATTCTGACCCATGCAAATGTTCATAACTGTGTGATTCTCATTAAAATTGCAGAATTAGGACTGTCTGATCAATGTAGTTGCCCTCACAATCACATTTTCATGTGTTGACCATCATCCATCAAGCTGTGGAAATCCTGGTGTATTTGTACCATACAGTCACGAGTATACATATATGATGGGAGTACATGAAGTCAGAGATAATTTGATCTTATATTTATCGGTAATTTACATGTAAAAGTTAACTACTTCATACAACTTTATTAGAAAATTTCATTGTTAGATACCTTCCTTTGTTGTCTATATCTGCTACTGCAGCAGTATTTGGTTCCATTTATTATGATTGTGTGCTGAAATAATTTAGTGAATTAAAGAAATGTTTGACAAAGTGGATTTCATTGGTATTTCAGAATACCATAAAAAATAGTTCGCTTACGTTGGCAGCTATAGAACAACAGAAAGCTGATGAAAATGTAATGAAACTGGCAGAAGATCAGAAGGTATGTTAAATGTTATCAATCATTGAATAACAACTGGAATCAATTTCAAACATTAAATATATTGTCATATGGCTGTGACTATTGATTTCAGAGGCAAAAGGAGGATCTCCACAAGAGAATAATTCAACTGGAGAAACAACTGGATGCAAAACAAGCCCTAGAGCTGGAAATCGAGCAAATGAGAGGGACCTTGAATGTTATGAAGCACATGGGAGATGACGGTGATTTGGAAATTCTGAAAAAGGTGGAGGGGATGCACAAGATGTTGAGAGAAAAGGAAGGAGACCTTGATGATTTAGAAGCATTGAATCAAACGCTAATAGTGAAAGAGAGGAAGAGCAATGATGAACTGCAGGAAGCTCGCAAAGAATTGATTAATGTAAGTCTTTCTAGTTTATTTCTACTCCTCCTGTGTTTTAAAGTCAAAATGCCAATTCTACCAGTAAATTGCTGCTTGCTCTTGCTTAAATGACAACTACCGTTATAAACGTCTCACAAGTCACAGCCAAATATATGACGTAACTAACTAAAATGATTTCTGATAGAATGAGATGGTAGAAAATTACGTGTATACGACCTTTTAGTAATTGGGAGTACAACAAGTGAGAAATGTTAAAAATGATGTTAAAGGTTAATATTTTTTATTATTTTGTTCAAACAAATGAACCAATCAATGGAATAAGAGTTATTTGATGTGTTATCTTTCCCCGCCCCGTTTTCCTTGTCTGCTTTCTTTTTCATTATAAACTTCATTTGGGAAAAATTAACCCAGTTCCCTGCCAATTTATGGATTTTAGAATGTGATTATGTAAGGATTAAATGCATCTTAGGTTATTGTTTATGCCACTGCTCGTACCAAAAATGACTGGATCTCCCATGTTGTGACTGATCTTGTGATGCGAGAGAAGTATATGATATTTGCTTATCATATACTCAATTAATTTTGTTTCAAGTTTTCTTTCCTGCATGACAAAATGTCCTCAAGCTTGTGAGGAAGGATTAATTAACTTGTTTTGTAGGGCTTGAAAGAAATATCAAGAAGTGCTCATATTGGTGTTAAGAGGATGGGAGAACTCGACAACAAACCGTTTCATGAAGCAAGCAAGAGGAAGTATAATGAGATGGAAGCAGATGAAAGAGCTTTGGAACTGTGTTCATTGTGGGAGGAGTACCTTCGAGATCCTGAGTGGCATCCCTTTAAAGTCATCAAGGTTGGCGGAAAACATCAGGTCTGTATTTAATGATAGATTGAAATTTGCAAGCACCTATTCTTACTTATTTGGCAAGCATAAACATTATTTTACCTGAAGATGAAGTACAAAATTGTGGTCTGTATGTCTAACAGTTGCAATACGTGCTCTCTCTCTCTCTCAGTTTCAGCTAATATGCGTAAATCTAAACATATCATGTATGTAGTTAGAGCTCCATTGCCCTTGAGCTACATGTCATGTTATGCAGTCATAATTCTCCATCATGATGTGCTTGTGTGTGGACACACGCACTTTGAAATAAGTTTGCCATGCTGACACTTCACTTAGGATATAGTCAGGTTTGGATTTTCTGTGTGGCCATGTTGAGACTTCACTTTTAACTTTAAGAACGCATTCTTCAACAACATAAAACATGGAGTAGGAGGAGCTAAAATAGAGTTCCACTAGTGCTGACTATCCAGCATTTGGTTATGTAGATATTGAAGTTATCACATATTCTGTTATGCGCTGCCAACCGTTGAATTACTTGTATAATTGGTCGGACCAACATCCATGACTGATGTGTGCCTCCTTTGACCAATGTGGATAAACTTCATTCTCGTGTCTGACCTTCATTTTTTGTATGTCCATTTGTGTGCGAATGTTGCACATATTCTGAATGGCACATACAGAGCATCCATTGCTCCTCCTTTGCTTTCCCCATATTATGGTTTACTTAAAACTGATGTTGATGGTTCAGGAAATGATAGATGATGATGATGAAAAATTGAATTCTCTGAAGAATGAATTTGGCATTGAAGTGTACAAGGCTGTAACATCAGCTTTGACGGAGATAAATGAATACAACCCGAGTGGAAGGTATATAATCTTGGAGCTCTGGAACTATTCGGAAGGAAGGAAAGCATCACTGCGAGAGGGAGTTGCCTTCATACTGAAACAATGGAAAATACATAAGCGCAAGAGGGAAATGCTTTGATGGTTGGAATTTATGCTGTACTTGTGCAATGCATTTCTACCCGTGTCTGTGTGATGACCTAAAAAGAAAATTGAGGGTGAAATGCTGTTATTTATGATGTATCCCATAAAAGCATGGCTGAATGTTTGGCCGTAGATTAAACTCTTGAAAATAAACCATTGGACTTTGTAGCATCATTCCTTGTATGAGCTCTATCTAGATAACGTATTCCAGGTTGGATATGATGACTTAAATTTATTTTCTTTTTCAGAAAGTTGTTTTATTATTTATGCATATTATTATGCTTGAAATTCCCTTAAACATTTGTGCCAATCCAGATGTGTGTTTGTGTTCAAATTTGAATATAGAGTAATACGTTGGAGTTCATTGGGCCCATATTGTGCCGTTCCTGACTCTCATGATGCACGGATGGGTTTTGCGTCATTCTTTGAAGGATAGATTATAAGCCACATTTGACACGAGTTGAAAAATGAGTGTGTTTTGTCCTAAGTCACATAAAGAGGGTGCGAGAGCGGAAGTGTGAGAGCGACAGAATTAAGTTATAAATAGTGATAATTTCAGCCAGAGCGTTCGCAGAGTAGGAGCACGCTCGTAACATAAGAGTGATACCCATTGAGAAGAGTAGCATAAGAGTGATACCCATTGAAAAGAATTGTGTAACTTAGGTTGTGTCTCAATGAAGAGGGTGATTAGTGATGAGAAGAATTGTGTAACTTAGATTGTATCCGGTGGAAAGGATGATCGGTGATTTGAGTCTCCACAAATGAATGAGTGAGATTTTTGGGGGAAAAAAAATTGTCATTTCTTTTTTGGATTTTCAGTGTCAATATCATCTTTATTTATTTATTTTTTTAAAAAATGTGGAGCATGATGAATATTACTGTACTTAATTTGAAAATTGAATTTTTTAAAAAATGACAAGTCATTTTAAAAAATAATCTGATTTTAAAGTTTTCGAAAAATGGTACCCTAAATCATTTCTTATCCAGTGCAGAAACACAATCAGTGTGTCGACTCATCATAGCCGTTAAAAATGCGAATATGCAACTCAACCCTGATTTCTTAGCGCATTTCAAACTCACCCATCAAAGTCTCAGAGCTCATTCCTTGAAGAACAATTGCACTCTCAGGTTCCTCCAAACATCTATCTATATATGTATGTATGTATATATATGTGTATGTTACATTTTCTATCTTGAAAATTTGGGGATGATTTTTTTTAGCTTACTCATCTTTAGTTTCTAACTTATATCTCTAGCAGGGACAATCACAATGGTGATATCGAAGTGTATAGGAATTGTTGATTATTAGTGGGTTATTTAAGATTAAAAGTAGGGTTAAAAGATTTCTGTATGTTATTTTGTTTCCCTTTGTAATTGGCATTATATTTGTATTTGCATTACACTGAAGAGCCATGTGCTTCTACATTGTTTGTGAAAGTCGGAGAAGAAGACAGAAAGAATCTCTGTTATAAACCTTTTCCCCATTTTTATTTTTTCATTTGTAGCTCAGAGGAAAAAAAATTGTGAAAAATTTTCATGACTAAAAATGAGGACTTTAACCTCCTCAAGACTTAGGTTTCTCTCATAGTTGGTAAGTAATTTATCCCAAAACTTTTACGGTGAACAACAGTGGCCGGTTCCGTCACAGAACCAGCCAATATAGCGGCTAGTTCGCTAGGAAAAATTTTGACCCGTTTTTGCTTGTGGGTCGTGGACCCTAATTTGTACTCTCTTGTAGCTCGATTTATAAAGGCGATTAGGGTTTGAAGCGGGAAATAGTGAAAACTTTCGATGGATCTCCACCTGGATGTAGGCTTTGCCGAACCACGCTAAATCTTTATGTTCTTTGTGTGTGGTGTGATTACTGTTTCTTGATTTATTCTCGGGTTCGCTGAGTTTTTCGTAACATATTGTAATGCAGGTAATATACATTTTAAACAGTTATATGAATTATCCACTTGAATATTGAAGTATGACAAAACCTTTTCATGAGATTAGAGGCTATCGGGAACCAAAAATCATGTCTGTCAATACCAAATGCTCTTGAGCTTTCATACTGCCCTGCTCCAAGTCTCAAACTAATGCCTCTCACTTTATCATCTTAGGAGCTGATATCTTCTATTAAAGCTTGTCTTGGTAATGAATCTCTTGACTTGAATTTGTTAAATTAAGTCTAAGTTAAAGAACTGAACTTTGCTTTGATAAATATGTTTATGTTTTAAAATTAATGTGGTTATGCTTTAAGAGCTGACTTTTCTAGCAAACCTCAGCTTTGTACATGCATATAGTTGGGTAGACGCAATGCTTCGCAACAATTCCCTGGCATGTTTTCGTGAAGGGGGAAACGCCAACGAAAGGAGGCACCAAAAAGATCAAATGTTTTCGGAAAGGTCTCTGCAAGAGGTTTTGATCTTTTTTTATCAACCTCTCTAGTAAGGTTCACAACAAGTCTGCTTAGAGTTGCAGATGAATCATTATACTTGTCCTCCATTTCCAGCAGCCTTTGATTACACTTGCGCTCCATTTCCTGCGGCCTTTGATTTTTGCTATCGTTCTCCATGGTAAGGCTCACAACAGATATGCATAATCTTAGTAGTTTTTCTGTTTCCATTTGAATGTGTGTAATTGAGTTTTCTGAGACATCAGCAAAATGTACTCAATAATTTGCTAAATTTTGAAAGTACAGAATAAAATTGTAAAAAAACAGAACAGCAAGTGGGGAGATGATGTAATTAACCAAAGACTTCAAATGTTGAATAGGGGGAAATTTCTATCTATTAATGGCATGAAGAGGTAAATGTTTTCAATATATATATATATATATATATATATCTTTTTTTTTATAAAAATTATAGGTTCATTCTGTAGGTTTTTCTTTGTTTTATTTATTTATTTTTTCGTTATGAGGTAAGTAGGTGCTATCCGCTAAAACATTATACTTGTTAGAGAACATGTTACATGGTTCTCTTGGTTACCAGACACCTGCTTCACATTCCCAATTCATTCGTATAAAGGAATAGAAAGAAAATAAAACGAAAAACAATAATGGTTCCAGTGTCGCATCATCTCAAAACCGAAAACAAAGGGGGAAAAGAGTAAAATACATTTAGAGCCAAAAAAAAAAATTGTATACAAGAAACAGTAAACTGCTTTTAGAAGTTTGCATTTCATAGCTAGACTTTTCCATAACATGGGAAAGTGGTCAAACGTGGGATCTAAACATGCTACAATTATAATAATTTTGGGAACGTCCTAAAATGCCCTTGAAGTATAGGTGCATTGCATTCCTTGTGTTAGCCTAATTTTAGATATGTTTTTTTTTTCTTAGTTAATACTCGCACCCCACAACCCCCCTTCCTCCACCCCCCACGAATTGTTTGTACCTAGCAGGAACTGATTCTGAGACAGGGTCCAAGTTTTTTACCAACTAGATCAACAACGCTAAGGAGTGTGAGAGCAGCAAAATTATGTCATAAATAGTGAGAATTTGAGCGAGAGCGCGCGTGGAACGTGAAAGCGGGAGCGTGCTCGGAACGTTAAAGTAACTCCTGTTGAGAAGGATTGTGTGACTTAGGTACAACTTGATCTTTCAAGAGGTTAATGAGGAAGTTTATTTCTCAACCTTATTAAATCACATCTAATGCGTCAACTCCCGAAAGATCTTCCATTAGAATCATTCTACAATTTTGATATGTTCCGTAACTTAAATTAATTAGTAAACCGGAATGTAGCCTTCTGATTTTGATTTTCTCCTGTAAGTAAGGTGTTCCAGGTTGTCATTCAGTCTTGTGAACATCAAACTTGCTTTATGAATTTGTTCCTTGAAAGTGGTATATCATTCAGTTTTATTGTCATTGTTGACTCCTTAAATATTCCTTAAATATCTAATGCGTATATGACACTGATACATCCTAGACGACATACAGATGCACAAATGTTTGCAGTATTTACATCTCGTGGGTATTTTACAGAGATGCACAAATGATGATAATGAATTCTCTGTTTTATGTGGGTGCTGAGGGGGTTTTTATTCATGCTTTACTTGTGTAGGTGGTTTTCGTACTGCTGTTTGTTTACAAGAGTTTTCAACCAAATGGTTTGAAGTTTGAGGAAATCAATGGGGAAAACAACTGCCATCTTCACCATTGTTGCGAAGCTTCAAAGTTAACAAGAGGGGTTATCCAAATTCTTGCAGTGGTTGGAGATCGAGGCAGTTCAAACTTCGTACTTCCATAAATCTTCAACAATTAGCTCAGGTGAGGCACGTTTTGACTTTGCGTTGATGTGAGTGGTAAAAGAGGTGTATAGAGAATAGTATAAATGCTGTAAACTATAGTATGGATTGGGCAAAATAAGAGGCAATTGTCTCTCCATGTGGGTAAGTTTTGAACTCCAGAATTGGGTACAAAACTTGGTAGTACTTCTTTTAGAATGTTTCTATTCAGGAACTACTCTGAAGATGTGTTTAGCAGAGCATATTTTAAGAAAATTTCTTGGGAGGATCTGCATTTAGAGAAGTATTAAAACAAATATTGGAATATACTGAATATAATTGTTTTATAAAGTTTGCCATTTTGGTCTTCAGAAATGCAAAAAAAAAAAAAAAAAAAAAAAAAAAAAAAAAAAAAATGAAAGAATTTATCAAGTGCATGAAATTTGTTTAACACCAGCAAAGAATTTCAGAAAAATGGATGTTTTCATGTACTACACACAGTATCTGTGAAGATCTTGCTTGATTTTCTAAATCTGTCCATAAATTGTATCATTGACGGTCAATTATCTTAAGAACTAATATCAAGTGTCTTCGTCCATGTGGATTTTGGTTCCTTAGGTCCTGTCTGACAACTGCTTTCGTTTTGCATTTATGTTTTCATTCGTGTGTTCAATAATAATTGGAAGCATCTTTGGTAACAGAAAATATATTACAACATTTCTGAAACAAAAATATGAAAATATGTGATGAAAAATAAAATAACTAGTTAAAAAGGCTACGTTGAGGTTTTCTTTCTTTTTTTTGACCTTTTATGATTATTATTCACCGTTATAGTGTCTTGTTACTGTATGCAAATATTGGGAAATACCAGTTTGGTGTTTTTGATTTGGGCCCCTTTTTTTATTTTTTTTATTTTTTACATCAAACGACTATTTAAATCACAATAAAAGTTTCAAATAATTTTTAGTACTATATCACCCGCAACAAAGAATAAAAAAAAAAAAAAACACAAAACAAAACGATTGTCAAACCCGCTCTTAGTTTCAAGACTATATTATCTCACGTAAATAATTGAGATGAAGCCAAGCTATCCACAATAAAAGTTTCAAATAATTTTCAGTACTACACCACCCGCAATAAGAAAAAAATAGAGTAATGATAGGGGAACTGAGAAGGAATCTCCGAATTAATACCGAATTTGATGTGGTTGGCTATGTTTATCACGTGTTAAACAATTATTTTTTGGAAACTGTTTAAATAAATGAGGTGGATAAAAACACGTCAGATTCAAGACTTATTCGGAGAAATAATTCGGCGATCCTATCATTTTCTAAAAAAATATTTAAAAAAAACCACGAAACAAAACAATTGTCAAATCGATTCTTAGTTTCAGGACTTTATAATCTCAGGTAAATAATTAAGATGAAGCCAAGATATGGCTAGCCTAAGAGAGAGCCGATCCAAATGCAAGAGGAACACATTGTGCACACCTTCATGCTTTCAGCTCTTGGTCTTGTATATAGTATGTGAATTTGCAAGTATGAAGTCATCCTTTGGAGCAATTTGAATATTGCCTGTTTAATAATTATGTTGAGAACCCTTCACATGTGAAGACAATTCATTTTTTAAAATATGTTACTCAGATATTATTAAACCATTTAAAGAAGGAGTCACATGACCCACAACATCACACGACTCATCTAATAATTTATTTATCTCATTTAAATTAAATGGATAATTTGTTTATTAATTTAAGTATAATATGCAAATATAACAAAGGTTTGAAATATTCGAAGACTAAAATTATGAAATGAGGATAATTAGGACAATATAATTACAAAAAAAAGAAAAAAGAAAAAGAAAAAAGATAAAAAGAGACACATATAATATGTATAGTGGGTTTATATTAATATAACAAAAATGTCCATAATAATTTAGCTAAAACTGATTACGTGTTTATTGACTTGAATCAATTATGACACAATTATTTAAAATAAGATATGATAAACATAAACACTATTATGATCAAGTCAAACTCGTTATCTTCGTGTAGTCATGCCTAATTTTGACTTTTAAATTGAAAAGAAATTATGGTCGAACCAAACTCCCTACTTTACCTTCAATTTATATTTATATATTTTTAAATATGAATTAAGAAAAAAGGAAAGAAAGATAAGCCATTTTAAAAAGTATTTTTAATTTAAAGTTACATGAGGATGCGAAATGCACATTCGTCAAGGTCGTCTCATATTAGTTGTCCATTTTAAAAATTTTGTCTCACTATCGTTTTCTATTTTTTAGTTATTTGAAATTATTTTTAATCATATTATTTTTTATATATTAATATATTATCTACATCTCATATTAAATATTTACTTTAATAACCTTAACTCTCAAAAACATTTGTGAGTCAAAGTTTTTAACAATGACTTATACGAAACTAGTAACAAAATTTGTGACAGAGTACGATCATGGACCGGAATTGTGTAACTTTTAGTGGTAACTGGACCAGACTGGTCTATATTTCATCCACTTTAAAATGTTGGTGGGACCCAAATCATTACGTACGATTCATCATAGCTGTTAGACTCGTCTACTCCGTCTGGTACTGCTACTGTTGACTGTCCAGTGTTTTACAGTATTTGGGAAAGTTCTCAGCGTCCGGTGTTGACTGAGGCATTTGGCAAAGCAAACCCATTGTTGTATGACTGACCTATGTTGCCACAAGTTCACAACCTCTCTGCTCAAGCCCTAAATTTCAAACTCACCCATTAAACTCTTACAGGCCATTCCTTGGAGAACAATTGCACTCTCAGGTTCCTCCAAATCTCTCTCTCCCTTCCTCTCTCTCTATATGTAAGTATGTAAACGTGTGTAGGTTACAGTTTCTTCCTTCAAAGTTTGGGGATAACTTTTAAGCTTACTCACCTTTCGTTTCATGTATATTGTCTGTGATTTTGTTTCTTGGCTTTCCTTTTCTGGGAATATGTGGTACATCATAATAGTGTATTGTTTTTTTTTAATTGTATTTTGTTTAGTTCTAACAAGGACAATCACTGCTTCAGATATATGAAAAATGTGATATTGAAGTGTACAGGAATTGTTGGTTATTTGTGGGTTATTTACAATTAAAAGTAGGGTTAAAAATTGCTGTGAAAAGTATTTTATTTACAACTAAAAGTAGGGTTAAAAGTGCATAGGGCCATCACTGTTTCAGATAGATGAAAAGTATTTTGTTTTCTGTTCTCTGTTATGCCTTTTGAAATTACTTGTATTTCAATGAATTTAAGTAGGAGGAGGTGTTTGGCAAAGCCTGACTGGTTCCACATTTACACAAGCTGATGATCCTGCCATTTGCCCATATTCAACCTTCGAAGTTCATGATTTAGGAGAGGGGGTTTAAATTTCAGATACTTTAAATACTTCAGAGAGTTGAACTTCAATTTCACTCTTCGCTGATAAATTCTTATTTGTCTTGCTGTTCTGTTTGCTTACGATTTTATTCTGTACTTCAAAATTTTAGCAAATTATGAGTACATTTTACTGATGTTTCAGAAAACACATTTACACATTGAAATGGAAACCCATACTTCTGAAGAAAAACAACAAAGATTATGCAGATTTGTTGTGAGCCTTAACGAGGAGATTGATTACAAAAATCAAAGGCTGCTAGAAATGGAGCACAAATATGATCATACATCTGCAACTCTAACCAAACTTGTTGTGAGCCTTACTAGGGAGATTGATAAAAAAAATCAAATGTTTTCAGAAATGGAGCATAAGTACAATGTGGTCTCTGCAACTGTTAGCAGGTTGATAGACGAGAAGAAGAGGCTGCATGACACATATAGTGAAGGTTTGTTTATATTAGATTTCTGTTTTTGTTCTATTCATGGCGTGAAGACGTAAATGATGTTCTTTCTTTCAATTTTATTTTTTTCCTTTTCCTTTTTCTTTTTATCTTTTAATTATATCTTCTTTAAGTAGGTTTTATAACTTTTATTCTTTTTGTAGGTGCTATCCTGCTAAAACATTATACTTGTTAGAGAATATGTTACATGGTTTTCTTAGCTACCGGACACCTGCAGCACATTCCCTTCCATCCATAAAAAGGAAAAGAAAACGAAAAAGAATAATGGTTCCTGTGGTACATCTACTCAATACTTAAAACCAAAAATAATTATCGGGGAAAAGAGTAAAAAAGCATTTAGAACAAATAAAGTTTATGCAAGGAGTAAACTGCTTTTAGAACTCCGTACTTCATAGCTAGACATTTCCCCATATAACATGGGAAAGTGTGGTCCTAAATAGGATCTAAACATGCTACAATTATAATAATTTTGAACATCTTAAAATGCCCTTGAAATATAGGTGCATTTTGTTCCTTGTGTTTGCCTAATTTTAGATAATATCTCTCCACTGGTTATAGACATTTTAAATTGCGCTGGAATTATCTGTGTACTCCATTCCCTAACATCAGACAGTATTTGTTCTTTATTGACTTATATTTCTAAAATATGGATAGTAACTTAAATTAGTTAGTGAACTGGAGTTAAAATCCTTTTTCAAAGATAATAAACCCTAATTTAGCAAGTTCTTATTTTGTACCGCCATAAAAGATTGTAGCCTTCTGAATTTGCTTTTCTCCTGTCAGTAAGGTACTTCAGGATCTTATTGAGTCTTGTGAATTCATCCCCATCAAACTTGCCTTGTGAATTTGTTCCTTGAAACTGATATATCGTTCAGTTTTATTGTCATTGTTGACTTCCTTGAATATTTCTAGTTTATTTTTTATTTTATGTTTTTGAATAAGTAGAATCTCTGGTAGATTGACCTCTCATATTTGTTAAATTCTGTAGAACTGAGAAAGATGAACATGAGACTAAAGAATACAAAGCTGAAGCATGAGCTGGAATGTCGAAAGAGAGAACTTGAGAACAATGCCAAAGAACACGAGAAGTGTAGTGCCCAGATTGACTTGGAACGGAGAAACTTATTGGTTGAGAAGGAGAAAGTAAGCATTTGTTTGCATGTGCGTGTGTAACAAAGCATTTCTATTTATAATTATCTATTTCTATCTTTAGTTCTGCGTATTGTTGTTGCAAACTTATTGCTAGAACTCTTCTTTCATTAGTTTGCTAATAATTTTACAAATGTGATCTGACAATTTGGCTTATGACATGCAAGAATGCTGTAGAAACTGATGCCTTGAGAAAAGAATTGGAGGAAAAAGTAGATGTATTGCATTATATGGAAAGCCTTAATCAAACTCTGATACTTAAAGAGCGAATGAGTAACAATGAGCTGCAAGATGCTCGCAAAGAAGCGATAAGTGTATGAATTGCCCTTACCAAAATTGCAAATGCATTAGCACTTTATATATTACTGCTTTTATTTTGATAAACCCATCTTCAAATCATTCCAATGAATGCAAGGTGCTCTTACAAAATGGCTTCCTGTATTTTCTCTTTCAGAGTTTGCGAGATATGCTGAATAACCGATCAACGCTTGTGATAAAAAAGATGGGTGAGGTTGATCAAAAACCTTTTCAAGATATGTTCTCAAGTGAAGACTGGGAGGCAGGGACTTCTGCTAAACTATGCACTTTGTGGGAAGAAAATGTGAAGGATCCTCACTGGCATCCTTTCAAGATAATCATTATTGATGGGAGACTGCAAGTATGTCTGCTTACAAACCATATATATGTCCGCTTCATTATTACATGTTACTTAAAATCATCAGCTTATATCCGAAATTATTCCATTTCCTGAAACCCATCTGGCAAAGAAGTTATTTGTCATGTTCCATGGACTTTTCTAAATGCGCAAAGTACCCGTGTCAAATACACTTGGATATGGGCATGAGATATATATTTGTCATATTGGTACTCACACACACATGCCTCCACTGAGGCTTGAACCCTTGACCTTCCTTTGGGAAGTAAGAGCCTGATACCGCTAGGCTACTGGCCCATTGGTTTATTATTCAAGTTTATCAATATGTTGACAAAATTCACTATTTATATTTCTTTTGTTCCAGTATTGCTTCATAATGAATAAGATCCATATTGAGCACTATCTAATTGAATATTTAACCGCAACCCTCTGTCCTTTAAGTTGACGATTTTTATAAATATAACACATAAAGAAAAGATGGCCACCCTGCATTTACTCCAGTCATGCGGGTAATAGAATTACTAAACATAGATATAGCTGATGAGGACAGACAGTGGAAGATTGAAATACTATGAATGTGCATTAGATTTCAACACAAGGAAATAATCTCTCTTTTTGTTCGTTATTTCAGCATTGAAAGAAATTAGAAAGACTCCTATTTTGGTAAAAGAAGAAAATGGTATGTTTTGGGTGTCTTTTGAAAATTTTATTGCTCGACCGCGTTGTAAAAAAGTAATCGTTCAAAATCGTCTCAACATGGAAAAAAGTAAACAAGCTCCATGACTTGTTAGATAGTATCAATTTTAAGAATTCATTACTAAATTTGCTGCTATTAATATTGATATAATTGATATACATTCCAAATATGCATTCTTAATTTGCTACTATTAGGAATTCATTTTATATGTTTACATTTGGTGTTCAATTATAATCCTTGTGAAATGCAGGAAGTAATAGATGAAGATGATGAGAAGTTGAAAGAATTGAGAAATGAATGGGGTGAGGCTGTTTACAATGCTGTAGCCAATGCTTTGTTGGAACTGAACGAGTGCAATCCTAGTGGGAGATATGCAGTTCCTGAAATTTGGAATTTAAAGGAGGGAAGAAAATGTAGTCTGAAAGAGATCATCGAATACATAATCAAGCAATGGAAAACTCATAAGCGTAAAAGGAACTGGAGCTAACCTTAGTATTTTTTCTTGCATGGTAAGTATTTTCTCCAACTTAAGAATACCATGGAATGCAACTTTTGATAACTCTACTGCTGATTTTATGGTTTTATTATTGAAGATTTATTTTGTATCTTCTGACTCACTGCAAAAAGAAACATTTCTAAATCGAATTAAAAAAAAAAAAAAAAAGCATATTTATATCGAATCAAAAGTAGCACATTTCTTAACCAAATCAAAAAGTACTACTGCAGAAAACAAGAGATGTTTATGCTTCTGAGGGATATCAACTTGCGTTATAATTTATTGTTATGTTAGATTATCATTCCATGAATTAAAAAGTAACATATTTTTCGATTATGAAAGACCCCCATTCCCAGAATTCGTGTTGGATGAGTATCGATCCCTCTCTCTCTTTAAATTTTATGTGAATCTTATTAAACTAAATATATTATTTTTGGAGGTACATTCATCTCAATAACAATTACCCATGTTCGCTTATATTGGGGTGGGCATACCACCTCTTTGGGGTGATAAAAATGTATGCACTTTATTACAGCACTAAGAACGAGGAATAGTGTATTTCAAGTTGAACTCACTAAAGGATGAGAATAATGCCAAAAAAGATCATGATTTTCAGATGGTAAGATAAGACATGATGATTTATGATTTATTGATTCAAATGGGAGATATGACCCTATGAAGCTGAATGACAAAAGGAATTATGTGCCTACTCGGCAAGGATTGTACGATTTAAGAACAAGAATCTTTCCATTTTTACTCGTTAGACATTAGTTGATCGTCATACATGTCATTTTCCTCTGGACATGAATTAACAACCATATGTCATATATCAACTATGAACTGTATATTCATGAACAAACAGCTTCATATTTTAGTTTGCAGCATTTTCCTAGACATACAGATGCACAAATGTTTGCTGTATTGACCTCTTGTGGGTATTTTATACTTCTCATTAACCTAATAGAACAATATGACAACCATGATGATGATAATTAATTTTCTGTGTTATGTGGTTGCTGATTCATGCTCTTTACTTGTGTAGGTGATTTTCGTACTGCTGTTTGGTTACACGATTTTTCAACCAAATGGTTTGAAGTTTGATGAAATCAAAGGGTGAAAACAATTGCCATCTTCACTATTGTCGGGAAGCTTTGAAGTTAACAAGCAGTGTCAAAACATCAGGTTGTGAAAACAGAACTTGTGTAAATCATCAACAATTAGCTCAGGTGAGGCGGGTTTTAACTTTGTGTTGATGCAAGTAGATAGTTATCTAATCCTAGCTCAAGTGAGGCAGGATGTGACTTTGTGTTGATGTAATTAGATAGTCATCTAATCCCTTTCCTGGAATATGTCACTGGAAACTAACTAATTTCGTAGTTTTTTCAGTTTCTGGTAGAAATAATTTTATTACATAGAATTATATAAATTGGTTTAGATTTGGTGTCTTCTGGGAACAAAATATTTGCTTCAACATTGAATTGAAATGGTTGATCACCTTACCATTTATTGGTCAAAGGCCTCAACTATTTCATATTACTGAGGTATGGATTGGGCAAAACAAGAGGTATGTGCCTCTCCATGTGGTAAGTTTTGAACTCCAGAATTGGGTTGTCTGGTTGTAGTATTTCTTGTAGAACTGTTTCTGTTCAAGAACAATTCTGATAATGCGATTGCCGTAGCATTTTTCGAGAAAATGTCTTGAGAGGATCTGCATTTAGAAAATTACTAAAACCAAGTTTTTTGGTTTCCAAATTTTGAGTTTATTGTAATATACTGAATGAAGTTGTTTTATAAATTTTGCCATTTTGATATTTAGGAATGCAGAATAAAAAATAAATTTTTTTTTGAAGAAGTAAAAGTTTGTATTTGAAATTCACAACAACAAAAAAAAAAAAAAAAATCAAAATCAAAATCAAATACTTCGGTTCATGATTAATCTCATCATTCTCCTGTAAAAACAGTTGAGATGGCCCAAGGCCCAATACAAATGTAAGAGGAACACATTGTTAATAAAAAATAAAATAAAATAAGCAAACAAAGCATCATTTACAACCAAAAAGGCAGCTGAGTTCATATTGAACACCAATAATCAGTCCAGGAGTAATTATGGATTTAAAAGGTAAGAACCGGGATAATCTTGCATAGTATAAAATGGGGTTCATTTTTAAAAATGAATTAAGAATAATGCTATGTCATTTTTAAAAATAATAGTTTTTGTAGTGTAGGTGCAATTTTTCATCCCGAACACTTGAGAAAATTATACAAAATGATTATGAACAAGAAAACAACACTAATAGACAAATTTGACAATGAGAGTAGTATGAGCTGAATTCGATGGATTTCTCTTCTTATTCATGCTTTATTTATACGCCTGTACAGAGATTTACATAGAGATTACTTGCGGTTTTTGGACATGGGCATTCATGGCCCCTTATTTTGCGGCATTCTCTTTTATTGTGGGCGTTATGGAAATTTGAGTTTGCCGAACTTGGGCCATTTGCTAGTCTGCTTCTTGTCAAGTGGAGGTTCCTTCGTTAATAAGGCCGACTTGACATTCTTGTTAGATCTTTCTTTATTGGGCTTTTGGCTTGCGCTGGACTCCAAGGCGATTTTGGCTAGTAATGGATTTTACACTTATTGATACGTGATGTATTATGATTGATGGCTCCATGTGTAGTCGGTCCAATAAATAGAGTCCAACAATAATTCTTATTTGTTTTTAAAAATTACAAAATCTCTTTTTTAATCCCTAAAAAAAATCATCAATTATATCATTCTCATTTTAAAAGAAAAATAAAAAGAATACATAAATTTGTATTACCATTCATATAAATAATTCTCTTTATTTTCAAAATGGGTCTAAACAGTTCAAATTTTTTTTTTCTCTAAACAGTTCAGTTAAGAACGTCATCACTGTCCGAGACAATGTGAGATCGTTACAATCACAGCCCTTGTGGTAATGCTCTCCCGTTTTCAATCCATCAGAGCCGTTAAAAATTCGTATCCTTAAGTGGGCCCACATGAAAGCCTCTGCTATCTGGGGGTACGTCTGTCACTCCATCTAGTACTACTACTACTGTTGAGCGTCTCTTTTTTTTTTTTTTTCCGGAAAAGCTGTTCAGTGTCCAGTTGTCTAACTGAATCATTCATTTCGCACTTTGATAAACAAAGCCATTGATGTGTGACTCAGACCTTGCTGTGCAACAAGTTAACACCGTCTCTGCTCAAGCAATACCTTTTCAACCCTAAATTTCTAATCACATTTCAAACTCACCCATCAAAATCTTGGAGCTCAATCCTTGACGAACAATTGCATTCTCAGGTTCCTCCAAACATCTATATCTATATCTATATATATATATATATATATATTTGTTCTTTCTTCAAAATTTGGGGATGTGGGGATAATTTTTTAGCTTACTCTTCTTCCGTTTGCAATTTATATCATCTTTTATTTTTTTGGCTTGGCTTTAGAGTAGTTGATCAAATTCGTTCTTGTGTGTGTGTTTTGCTTGGTTTTCCTTTTCTTTTTCTTTTTTTCCCTGGAAATATGAGGTACATCTTCCAAGTGTATTGGGATTTGTTGATTGTATTTTGTTTAGTTTCAATCAGGGGCAATCCCTGCTTCAGATATGCGAAGAATGTGATATTGAAGTGTATTGTGGATAGGAACTATTGATTATTAATGGGTTGTTTACAAGTAAAATTAGGGTTAAAAGATTCTGCATCCTTTCTCTCTGTGTGAATAAGCAATTCAGTAAAGGCATCCTAGTGGGATTGTAGTAGGTGCTTAAGAGATAACATACTTATATATTGCTTGAAACAAAATCAGTAATGATGAGAACCATATCTTCGTATTTGTGTATTCTTTTCTAATATTTGAGCTCTTACATCGAACGCACACATACATTCATGTGTTAATTTTCTTATATATACATAAACATACACGTGTATGTAGGAAATGTGTCTCTTGTCTTCATGTTTACATGTGCAGAGCAAAAGCACATATTCATTTTATTTAGTTCTCTTAATTAGTAGGGCTTGAGTTGTGTTTTAAGGGAGAAGAGGCTGTAGATGAATACATTGATCACTGGCAAAATACAAAATAAAAAAGTAAATAACTTTGAAAAAGCCTGATTATTCAGCAACCGTAGATAATTTGAAAGGAAAGGTACTGTGATGGTGACATAGTACTGGCTCCCCATCTACACAATCTGTTGTTCCTGCCATTTGTCCATATTCAACATTTGAAGTCCATGATTATGTCATCTCTCCACTTGGGGAGAGAGTTGAGAGAGTGAGAGAGAACGGAGGGGGGAGGGCGGGTTAAATTACTGATACTTTAATTTATTTTTCCGTCTTTACATTCTGAGGTTCAGTTTTACTCTTAATTGATAAATTCTTCTGTTCCTTCTTGTTATATCTTTTTATAATTTATTCTGTAATTTCAAAATTTAGCAAATTATTGAGTACAGTTTGCTTATGTTTCAGAAAACTCAGTTACACATTCAAATGGAAACAGAAAAACTACTAAGATTATGCAGATCTGTTGTGAGCCTTACCAAGGAGATCGATAATAAAAATCAAAGGCTGTGTGAAATGGAACACAAGTGTAATCAAAGGCTGCTGGATATGGAGCACAAGTATAATGATTCATCTTCAACTCTAAGCAGACTTGTTTTGGACCTTACTAGAGAGATTGATATAAAAGATCAAATGTTTTCAATAATGGAGCATAAGTATAATGAGGTCTCTGCAACTATTAGTGGGTTGATAGAGGACAAGAAGAGGTTGCATGAAGCATACAGTGAAGGTTTGTCTATATTAGAAAATAAATTTGTTCTATCTATTCATCTGACCCTTGCGTAATGGTAAGGTTGCTTCATTGTAACCTGGAGGCCATGAGTTTGAAATAAGGAAATAGCCTCTCTGCATGCGGAGGTAAGGCTGTGTACATCTTACCCTCAGACCCCGCAATGGCGGGAGCCTCGTGCACCGGGTTTGCCCTTGTTAATTCATGGCTACTTGTTAGAGAATATGTTACATGGTTTTCTTGGTTACCAGACACTTACAGCACATTCCCAGTTGCAGTCATAAAAATGAAAAGAAAGAAAATAAAACAAAAAAGAATAATGGTTCCTGTGCTACATCATCTGAAAACCAATATATATATATATTGAGGAAAAGAGTAAAAAAACATTTAGAACAACAAAAATGTTGTACACAAGAAGCAGTAAACTGCATTTAGAAGTCCGCACTTCATAATTAGATGTTTCCCAATATAACATGGGAAAGTGTGGTTCTACACTCCCACGTAGTATCTAAACATGCTACAATTATAATAATTTTGAACATCCAAAAGTGCCCTTGAAGTTTAGGTGCATTATGTTCCTTGTGTTAGCCTGATTTTAGATAATATCTCTCCACTGGTTATAAACGCTTACAAAATGCTCTTGAAGTATATGGGTACTCCATTCCTTGTGATTGCCCAACATTAGACAATACTTAAGCCCTGGTACAACTTGATCTTTCAAGAGGCTTATGAGGAATTCTAAACCTTGTTAAATCACATCTAATGTGTAAAATATATTATATAATTGTCAACTCTCGAAATATCTTCCATTAGAATTATTTGTTCTTTATTGACTTATCATTCTACAATTTGGATATGTTTAGTCACTTATATTAATTAGTAAACTGGAGTGAAAATCTTTTTTCAAAGGTAATTAACCGTAATTTTTCAAGTTCTTATGTTATACAAATATAAAAGAATGTAGCCTTCTGATTTCTGCTTTTCTCCTGTAAGTAAGGTACTTCAAGTTCTTATTCAGTATTGTGAATTCTGCTTCATCAAACTTGCTTTGTGAATTCGTTCCTTGAAACTGGTATAGCTTCAGTTTTATTGTCATTGTTGACTCAAATATTTCTAGTTTATTTTATTATTATTATTTTTTAATAAGTAGAATCACAGGTAGATTGGCCTCTCATATTTAGTAAATTCTGTAGAACTGAGACAGATGAATCTCATGAGACTACAGAATACAAAACTGGAGCATGAGCTGGAATATCTAAAGGGAGAACTAGAGAACGATGCCAAAGAACAGGAGAAGTGTAGTGCCCAGATTGAGTTGGAGCAGAGAAAGTTGATTGTTGAGAAGGAGAAAGTAAGTATTCTTAGTTGTAGTTTGAATATACTGAAGATATTTGTTAAAGGGAAAACCTCATTTTTATTTTTATTTTTACAATTTCTCTAATAAATAAATAAATAAAACCACAATAAAACCTCAAAAGAAGTGGCAAAACCCATGTGCATTTGAAGTATACATAACAACCAAAAGTCAGTCCCATCTACAGAACTTAAACCTTGAAGAACTCTATAAAGTAACTAGAAGAAAATGAGATACTTCCTGACAACTAAATGAATGGGGAGTTCAAATGACCTTTTTCATCCAAAAGAGTTATTCCTCTCTGACCACATGCTCCACAAAAGGCAAGAAGGGGCTGCATTCCACGCCTGATTACCCTTTTCTTTATGTAGCTCCCTTGCTATGAAACATGGGCACATATATGGACAGGGACACGACACAACATGGACACGACAAAATATATAAGAAATAAGTTAAGAATTATATTGTTTTGACATAAATTTTAAACAATTAGTTCATTATTATATCCCACTTCTTTTTTTGGAAAAAATTCTGAACACTTAGAACCTTGTTATGTTTTATTTTAACAATTATACTATGATATTATACTTAGAAAAGTTACATTTTATTGTTTAATACTTGCTAGACATGCGTTTAGAAGTTCTTGAGGAGTGTAAGATATGTGGTCGAAGTATTTTGCAGAGTATTAGAGAAGTACCAACTACATGTTCGAAATATATAAAAATAATAATAACTATAATTTTTAAATTATCAATTTGTTTAGGAAGTATGAGATATGTAAGTATTCTAGGAGTATCAATATCTGATATGAATATGACACTGATACATCCTCCTTATAGAAGTATCTGTGCTTCATAGCTCCTAGCCCGCTCCCAGTGCACCAGTTGATCTGCACCAGCTGATCTAGGTGTCAGCAGCGTCTCCCAAAGAATCCCATGAAATCCAATAACAAAAACCATAGATTCAATTGCAATGATAATGTAACAAGAGATCATGTGATCAGATCTAAGCATAACAAAATGGTGGTGTGACTCTTTGCCAATTCTTTCACTTGTCATCTTATCTATCTGAACCATTATGATAGCATCTTGTTGTTTCTGAATTGTGCACAAGATAGATTGCCAAGTGATAACTCTAGTCAAAAAGGTCATTTTTATTATTATTATGTTTTTTGATAAGTAAAACTGTCAAACTTAGATGCATCATCACAAGAATGCCAGGTTTGCAAGTGTGGCTATTGTTGAAGGCATGCATGGAAACCCATTGCCACCTGAAGTTGTTGGAATCATCACGGATCTAATTCTGTTCCTTCAGATGATCATGGGAACTTACAATTGTTGTTTTTTGAATTGCAGTACAAAGGAGCTAGTGAAGAAGGGTTGATCTTTGAAAAGATTGTGATTAATTGCCATTTTGGATTTTCTCATTGCATATGAACAAGGATTCCTGTTTAGAAATATTAATAAAATTTATTAAATGAAATAAATTTTCCGACCAAAAGGAGAAGAGAAAAATAAAAATTCCTGTTTGCAAACATATAATCCTCGCTCAATGTAATGGCTTATCAAGAAGAAGAGTATAGGATGGGGCGGATGACCTAGATGTTATTAGAGCAGCATTTGTTTGCATGTGAGTGTGTAACAAAATATTTTTATTTATAATTATCTATTTCTATCTTTGGTTCTACGTGTTGTTGTTGTGAATTTATTACTAGAACTCTTCTATCAATAGTTCACTAATATGATTTTTATTAATGTGTTATGACAATTTGGCTTCTGACCTGCAGTCAACGAATGCTGTAGAAACTAATGATAATGATGCCTTGAGAAATGAATTGGAGGAAAAAGGAGATGAATTGCATCATATGGAAAGCCTTATTCAAACTCTGATACTTAAAGAGCGAATAAGTAACGATGAGCTGCAAGATGCTCGCAAAGAAGCGATAAGGGTATGAATTGCCCTCCTTTTTTGGCATATTTACTATTAAAAATTGCAAATACATTACCACTTTATATATTACTACTTTTTATTTTAATAAACCCATCTTCAAATCATTCCAATGAATGCAAGGTGCTCTTACAAAATGTTATCCTGCATTTTCTCATTCAGAGATTGCAAGATATGCTGAATAACTGATCAACACTAGTAATAAAAAATATGGGTGAGGTTGATCAAAAACCTTTTCAAGATGTGTGCTCGCGGATGTACTCAAGTGAAGACTGGGAGGAGATATCTGCTCAACTATGTTCTTTGTGGGAAGGAAATGTGAAGGATCCTCACTGGCATCCTTTCAAGAAAATCATTATTGATGGCAGACTGCAAGTATGTCTGCTTACAAACCATATATATGTCCGTGTTATTATTACATGTTGGTAAAAATCATCAGCATATCTCCGAAATTATCCCATTTTCTGGAGCCCATACGGTAAAGAAGTTATTTGTCATCTTCTATGGACTTTTCTAAATGTGTAAACTACCTGTGTCAAATACACTTGGATATGGCCATGAGATATATATTTGACTTATCTGTTGGACATGTAAGCGTATCTCATAATTCAAGTTTAGAAATATGTTCACAAAATTATCTTTTTATATTTGTTTTGTTCCAGTATTGCTTCATATTCCATAATGAATAAGATCAATATAGAGCCCTATATAATTAAATATTTGACCGCCACCCTATGTCCTTGAAGTTGACGATTTTGATAAATAGAACACTTAGAGATAGCCACCCGGCACGTTTTCCCGGGTCATGTTGTATAGGTAATAGAATTTCTAACATGGATACACCTGATGAGAGCAGACAGTGGAAAGATCGAAATACTATGAATTTGCATTAGACTTCAAAATGAGGAATTCATTTATCTTTTTGTTCGTTTTACTTCAGCATTTAAATTTTTTAGAAAGACTCCTATTATGACAAAAGGGAAAATGGTATTTTTTGGGTGTCCTTTGAAAATTTTATTTTGCTCGATCATGTTGTAAGAAAGAAATCCATGGTTTAAAATCGGCTCAGGCTGGAAAAAAGTAAACGAGCTCCACGATTTGTCAGATTGTATCAATTTTAAGAATTCATCACTAAATTTGCTGCTATTAATATTTATAGACACACACACATGAATAAATATTTGGGTAATCATATGCTTACTTAATTTACTTAATTTACATTTGGTGTTCAATAATAATCTTGAGAAGTGCAGGAAATAATAGATGCAGATGATGAGAAGTTGAAAGAATTAAGAAATAAATGGGGTGAGGAGGTTTACAATGCTGTAGCCAATGCATTGGTGGAACTGAACGAGTACAATCCTAGTGGGAGGTATGCAGTTCCTGAAATTTGGAATTTAAAGGAGGGAAGAAAATCCAGTTTGAAAGAGATCATTCAATACATAATCAAGCAATGGAAAACTCACAAGCATAAAAGGAAATGGAGCTAACCTTAGCATTTTTTCTTTCATGGTAAGTATTTTCTTTAACTTAAGAATATCATGCAATGCAACTTGTGATCACTCTGCCGCTGTTTTATGGCTTTATTATTGAAGATTTTGCTTATATCTCCTAACTCGCTGCAAAAAGATGCTTTTCTTAACCGAATCGGAAAAAAATAATAATAATAACATAAAATTAAAGTCTGCTAGTACTATTGGAGAAAAGAAGAGATGTTTATGCGCCTGATGTTTCAGTTGAGTTTGACTTGGAATAGGTGGTTAGCCTAATGTTTCTTATATCCTGAGGGATATCAACTTGGGTTATAATTTATTGTTATGTTAGACTATCCTTCCATGAATTAAAAAGTAGCATACTTTGTGTTACAAAAAAAAAAAAAAAAAAATAATGTAGCATACTTTCAATTATGGAAGACCCCCATTCCCAGAATTTGTGTTGGATGATTGTCCCTCCCTTCTCTATCTTTCTCACGCACACCCTCAATTTTATGTGAATACTTGTTAAACTAAACATATTGTTTTTGGAGGTTCATCAATCTCAATAACAATTACCCAATATTGGAGTGGGCATACAAGCTATTGTGGTGATAAAAAAATGTACACGCTTGACAATCATTAATGTGTTATCATATCATGAGGCCACCATAAAGCAAGCCAATTATCACTCTAAGAGTGAGGAATAGTTTTTCTCAAGTTGAACTCCCTAAAGGGCGAGAATAATGCCAAAAAGTCACGATTTTCATATGTTAAGATAATATATTATAGTTATGATTTATTGATTCAAATGGGAGATATGGCCCTATGAAGCTGAATGACAAAAGGATGTAGCTACTCCTTAGCAGCAATGATTTTTTTCATTTAAGAACCAGAATCTTTTCATTTTTACTTCTGGACCTAAGTTGATCATCATGCATATCATTTTCCTCTGGACATGAATTAACAACTTATATATCAGATATCAACTATTCACGATATCAACCATGAACCGTTTCCCTTTTTTTTTTTTTTTTTTTTTCATGAACCTAATAGAACAATATGACAGCCATAGTGATGATGATGAATTTTCTGTGTTATGTAGGTGCTAGGGGGTGTATTCATGATTTACTTGTGTAGGTGTGTCCTGCTGTTTTTTACAAGATTTTTCAACCAAATGGTTTGAAGTTTGAGGAAATCAAAGGAGAAAACAACTGCCATCTTCACTATTTGTTGGGAAGCTTACAAGTTAACTAGCTGTGTTATCCAAAATTTTGCAGTGGTTGGAGCTCGAGCCAGATCAAAAATTCGATTCCATCCAGGTTGTGAAACAGAACTTCTATTAATCGTCAACGGTTATCTCAGGTGTGGCAGGTTTAACTTTGTGTAGGATATAAATCGATAGTTATCTAATCCTAGCTCAGGTCAGGGAGGTTCTGACTTTGTGTTGATGCAAGTAGATAGTTATTTAATCCTTCGTAAAATATGTTTGTCTTGTCTGCAGAAATGCTTTAAAACAGGGGTACAGAGGTGTTTAGAATGGTAGGAACGCTGGGGACGAACTAATTTTATAGGTTTTTCAGTTTCTTGCAGAAGGAATTTCCCTACATAGAATTATAAAAAGTGGTTTAGTTTTGGTGTTTTCTGGGAACAAAATATTTGCTTGAACATGAATTGTACAGAGTGGGTATAGTGGAAGCTACTTTTTTGGGCACCTTATGATGCAATTGCCTTAATAACTAGGTCTTTTCTGAAGTGGTTGGTTGATCACCATACCATCTTTGTTCCTTTTTGTTGTTTATTCACGTTTATGTATTGAAAGGCTCAATTATGGGTAGCTTTTGAACTCCAGAATTGGGGTGTTTGGTAGTGTCTCTCTTAGAACTGTTTCTGTTCAAAGACAGTTTTGAAAATGCGTTTGGCAGAGCATTTTTCAGAAAATTTCTTGAGAGGGTCTGCATTTAGAAAATTTAGTAAACCATTGATATGAAACCAAGCTTTGGCTAGCCTAAGGCCCAATCTAAATATTATGTTTGGCGGCACCAAATCGACGCCTTGAATTTGGGATCAAAAAAAGTTTAGTAAAAATTTTAACTAAACTTCTTTCAATCTCAAATTCAAAACACTGATTTGGTATTTCTAAACATAACATCACAGTAATTTTGAATTTAAAAGCTATCTAAATAGATACGAGAGTGTATTATGTATATGAGAGTTGTCCAAAGAAGAAAGTAAAAGCTATCTCAATGAATAAGAGAGAAACAAGGAAATAGTTGTGAAAGGATAATGAATACTATAAAACCCATATGTATTTATAAATATATATATATATGTATATATATATATATATATATATAAATATAGCAAGTAAGCTGCGGGCTACATGACCCTTCTAGCCACTTCAGCTCCTACAATCTCTTATTGTTCCTTTATCTAATAAAACACTCTCCATAACTAAAAAATGGTGAGACAAGCACACAGACACAATCCTAAACTTTCTCCCATTTCCCCCTCTTTGATTTTTCTGTTCACTCACCACTCCCAAAAGCACTCTTTCTTCTCTCTCCCTCGACTCACTTTCCGGGAAAAAGAAAATGGAAAATAAAAAGTAGAAAGAAAATAAAGCAGCATGAAAATGGCGGGCAATGCTCCTTAAACCCTGAAATTTTTTCCCGAGAAAGTTTGACCAAATTGCCAATTGGAAGGTACGATGTTCCATGAGGTGGAGGTGCGACGATCACTGCCTGTGACCCTGAAGGAGAGTGACTGACCAACCAACACGGCATTTGACTGCCAGTTCTGACCCCAGTTACGGCTCATGCTCATCCACCCAGTCTTTGACCCTTTCACGCTCGCCCTCACTATATCTCCTGCACCCGCAACGTTGGTAACCAGAACCAAGTTGAAGTATCGGAAGCCGTTGATAGTGAATCTCATCCCTCCTTGCTTTCGGCATGCCACCCTTCAAAAAAACATCCACAAATTAAATTGTTATTCATAAAATTATACATCTATATATATTATATATATATATATATGAGGAATATGGATATTTTTTATATAAAACCCCCCTGCAATATTAAAATATGTAAAAAAATGAAATTGATTGTCACATGCATACTATGGTTGTAAGACAAAAATGAATAAAATTGTAACATAATATGTATCCCGGAGATGCTAATAACAATTGCATCAGCTCAATCATTGGATTACATGGGTCTCATGGAGTCTCACGGTAAGACCAACATGATTCAACGGCTCAACTTGCACACCTCGTTACTTTAATCCACTTGTGTGTAAAGAATGTGTGCTCACCGGCGGTAGGAGACGGGAACGATTCCGGCACGGTACTGGGCGATCCTGAGGAACATTGGCATGGCAAGGTCGAAGTGCGGGCGAGGAGGGTTGCACCAACCACCATTGTCATTAGGCAAAGCATAATTGGGTGGGCAGAAGTTGGTGGCAGTAATGTAGATGGAGGGGCTGCCGGGGTGGCACCACTGCGGGTCGTTGGCACACTTGATCTCGAAGCAAGCGCCGCAGCTGTAACCATTGTTGAAGAGGGCCGTGCTTAGCGCCGCCGTGTGCAAGCCGTAGCCTTGGCTGTACAAGTTTCCATATCCACAAGCACCCCCTGTAGAATCAAAAACACAAATAATACTTGGTATAATATGGATATAGAGATTATCATAGCGAAACAGAGGAGTGACTAGATTTTCATATATAGTCAGCATTGAAGATATGTCATAATTGGTTGACTACGCAAATGACATGGTACGTTTGGTACCAGAGAGATTTTCTAGTATGTTTTGACCCAAAAAAGAAAAGATCGAACAAGGATCCTCAACATGTACGTTCCTCCAAATAGAAAACAGTTTTCAGAAAACTCAACATGTTATACATACCCATAGTTCCGGAGGCGTCACTGCCACCATAAAAAGTGGCATGAGCGGTTTGCCATGAACCGCCGGTGTAAACGCCTGGAATTCGGGCGTCAACCATTGAAAGAAATAGAATCAGAGTGAGAAAGCAGAGGGCACCCACAACTGCCATTGCTTGTATAGAGAGAGAGAGTTATAGAGAGAGAAACAGAGATGAGGCTGCTGCTACTTGTGAGTATGAGAGCAAGGAGGATGGTGAACTACTACTACTTATTGGGGGCAGAGGAGAGGGAGGGAAGGAAAGGAAATCATCAGATTGATAGATATAATTAATGCTGTTTTTATCAGTCCTTAATTTAAGCATGCACTTTTTTGGGAGGAAAGGAAATCCAATTCCACTGTCTTTGTTGCTTCATTGACGAATTTGCCCTTGGGGCTTGTCTGTTTTCTCTCCAATTCATGATTTAATTGGCGGGTTTTAAGGGTATGGAGAGTTGATAGAAAAGGGAAAAGGGAGGTCCACAAGGGCAAGGCTGATATGATATGAAACGGTTTCTTCGCTTTGCTTGAATTGCAAGTAGTGTTTGGCTGTTTATTCTTTTTTGATTTTTATTTTTCCTTTTCTTTATTATTTTTAATTTTTTCTCTTTTATTGTTATGGATTCCAACTTTTAACACATTTCTTCATAAGCAACTGTCGTCATCAACTGATATTCTAAGGCTGCATATTTTCCATTTTGATTTAAGTAAAAGGAGATTCTCATGAAATGGAGAATCACTTTTCTTCTTTTCTTCCCTTTTTGAAGTTTCGTAGGAAGTTGTTTGAACAAATCTTTTTCTGTCCTTAGTTTCTGACCAATCGGTTGAATATGTTTGAAATATTTTAATAAAAAATTAATATATTTATATTAATGATTGTGTGATGTGAATATATATTTTATTAGTTAAGTTATAATTATTGTATGTAGACATTATTTCAATCATATATAATTTTCATAAAATTATTATTACTTTAAGCAAGTTATAATCGATCGAATGTTACTTCAAAAATGAAATGGAGATTCTGTATCTACGTGTATGTATTATATATATATATATATATCGGCCAATTTGGCAGTAGCATGACTTTGATGTCTAATAAGAAAAAGGAAAAAGAAAATAACATGAAGAAAAAAAAAAAAAAAAAAAAACCCTTACTTCCTCTACTATTTTCTTTTCCTTCCCTTTTCTATGTGATAAACAAATAAGAAATTATTATATGATATTTAATGTCTTTTCTTTGGTTTACTAAATTAACTTACATATTCCATCATAGTTGTAATGAGAAGTTACTCTAGTTTTGAGCATAAATATTTATGTACTGTATATGGGACCTTAATTTACACATAGGTGTTCGGGACATAGCAACGTTGGTATTCAGGACATAGCGATGTTGGAAGGTATTCGGAAAGTAAATCTTTGAGGTTTGGCTTTCGAACCGCGCTCTTGACCTGAATAATGCGTGTGTTGTGATGCCGATACACTTACTCTAAGAAGAAAAAAAAAAAAATTACATATAGGTGCCCTATTGGTTGCTCTATTATATAGGTAGAGGATGTTAGTGGTCTACTTATCTTCAACTCATGAACTTAGCTGATACAAAAATATATGATAATATTTAATTTTCTCAATTAGTGCGTCAGTGTTATTAGAGATCCTTGTTATTGGTTGACTGTCACTAATTTGGCCAAATTTTTGGAAATATCATCCATTAATGTATGAATTATTAAGATCAAAAATTATAAAATTGACTCACTTTCCAATTTCTTCTAAAACTTTCCGACTTGAGACCAAATTTCCTCCTTTTTTCACTTTAACCAAACCTAACTTCATCTTTAAAGTGGCCACTAATTGTGTGGATTATAAACCTATTTGAATTATAAATTACTAAATTATGGTATCTAAATTTGGGAATTGTCCATGAAGGTCAGCCAATTATCCCTACGTGGAGCTTCAATTTCTATCACCTTTTTCATAGGAAGTTTTATTTCATTCTGCTCTCCTCTGCAAAGCAGATCATGACTAATTTGAAAATTTTAAGCTAAAAAGCAATGAAATCAACCACTTAATATGCTGAGTTTGGGGCCCACTTATCCGCATTCATATCTGCATGTACTACATCATGCATAGGTCCCCGCTGTAGCTAGGATCCGTACACAACTTATAAAATAATGTCGTTTTGGTGCACGACATACAATCTGTGTTATCATTTTAATACACAGAACGTGAACATAATCTCCTATGTAAAAAATACTGCTGAATTACAAAATTTGGTGCATAAAAGGCATGTTCTTGAATTAATGGATTGATAATGTTGGAGTGGGCAAAGTCAGCAATTGAAAAATGGGCTCATATTTGTTTTGCTTTTTGGTCAAGGTCCAAAAAGAGGGTGGGTCTCTAATTTCTAATTCATTGTTCAAACCTAAACCATCTTCTCATCTATTATGACATTAAAATCCAACTTGGAAACTGGGACCTAGATTCAAAGTTACAGATATGGTACAGATTTTAAAATCCCACTTATCACTCCATGAGTTTTATTAAAAAAATAATAATAAAATAAAATACATTTGGTAAGTCTAATTTTGCAAAAAAATGAAGCATGCACGTTAACTAATTTGGAGTGAATTGGAGACAACATGAAATGGTGTCAAAGGATTGTGGGGGTGTTTTCACTACAAATACAAACCACAAGATTCATTCCTACACTTGGAAGGAAAGTTTCCATCACTAGTGGCCCAATGCAATGTTACGAGTCTGAAAAAAAATATATATATATATTATGAGTCTCTCTCTCTCACACACTCACACACACACAGAAAGGGACTTTTCTAATAAAATAAATAAATAAAGAATTTCAAATATGATGCAAAACACAGTGAAGTGTATAGAAAATTGATGTGGAGTGTTGAGACATCTTATAAATCACACATCACTTGAGAGTTCACAACAATTAATAATGGTAATCAGTGTCATCAGTAGTACTACTAGACATACCACAAAGTGCACAATGAGTGATAATTATAGGATTAAAGATTTGAATAATAGCAATAATGTTGTTGTTGAATTCCGATGCATGCGACTATCGAAAACTTGCCCCTTCTTTATTCAACCGTCTATGAGTTTCATGGACCATTTACTAAATCATGTCTTCTTTTATTTATTTTTTTATTTATTTTTTTGAGAAAATTCCATCTTAGTCCTACTTTTTAACCTCAATGACAAATAAGTCCTAAAAAAAAATTATAGGACAAAGAAGTCCTACTTTACATAAATATTTCCAATCAAGTCCTAAACTAAATAGAATCCCTATTTTACCCTTTCCATAATCCCCTCACTCTCAACCCCCTTTCTCCCTTAACCAATCCGGGAATCCATTTGAGGAACCAAAGGTTTGACAGAGCTCAGTTGGGTGGTTTAGGAGCGATGATGAGACCACACATTTCTCCTCAAAATCTCTTTCCTCTGATTTATCTGGTCGGTCTTCTTACCAAAACAGAGCTCGTTGTGACCTCCAAATTGCGCAAGTTCACCAACACAGCTGAGTCCTCCGCTCCGAGTCAGCCGGTTAATTCTTGCCGCCGTCCGTCTCCACCGGCTGAGTTCATCCTCGCCGAACTCACCGCCAGCCCGTCCCTGCCGGATCCATCACAGCCGTTGTTCTCAGCTACTGTTCCATCCCGCCAAGCCGCGCCACAAGCTTACAGCTGAGCTTCTTCTTCCATCACCGATCAAACCATCACGGCCAAGCCCTCACCGGCCGACCCCTTCATCGCGGCCGAGTCCTCGACATCATCCAAAGCCAAAACCCCCTCCAGCCTTCCTTCTTCCTTGATCGAAGCTTTTTTCGAGTGAGGTTGTGTGGTTGCCCCCTCTGTAGCGATTTTCGCGATGAGATCAGGATATATATATATGTGTGTGTGTGTTAGGGAGGCAAGATGAGAACAGAGAACGGAGAGAGGAAAGACTCACCTCATCGGCAACTATAGGCTCCATGGATTCCGGCAGCGATTTGCATAATGTCCTCACCGGTGAATCGATCCGCAGTAGCGGGAACGGTTTGCCGTGGTGGCGGCGATTTGTGACAGCGAAGTTATGGCAACTAGCGATTTGGTTGCTTCTTGCTCTTCTTTTTTTTCATTTGACTAGGATTTGCTTAAGGGAGAAAAGGGGTTGAGAGTGAGGGGGAATATGGAAAGGGTAAATTAGGAATTCTATTTAGTTTAAGACTTGATTGGAAATATTTATGTAAAGTAGGACTTATTTGTCTTATAAATTTTTTTTATGACTTATTTGTCTTTAGGATTAAAAAGTAGGACTAGGGTGTAATTTTTCCTATTTTTTTTATGAAACTATGTCTCTTCAACACACTCAATTCAGCTTTACGCAATGTCACAATCCTTGTAAAATAAAATAATAATAATAATAATAAAAAAGTAAGTTTTAATAAATTTTGAAGCAAGCAAATATGGAATCATATCTTCAACTTCTTTTTGTGCCATGTGCCACAGTCACTCTAACTTTTTTATTTATTTATTTCTGTTAGGTCTTCTTTGAGTGATTCCTAAGAGGGACCTCCATCACTCAACGACAATTGCTTTTCACTGCTAAATTAGCTACTTTTGAACTTAAAGGAGAAACTACCATTAACCAACTTACCCGTCTCCTTACCTTAAAAAAAAAAACAAAAACTTACCTTAAACTTAACTGCCTCCCACAAACAACAAAAACGGCCAACACAATTATTCTCTATTCTTTTCATTGGGGCCCAATTAACACACTCTTGAATGGACAATGACTCTATGTGTCATATGAAAAAAAAAATAATAATAAAAAATAAATAAATAAATCACGCTTACCGGGCAGGAAAACAAAATTAAAAAAAAAGTCATAAGGGGTGCAACCTAAGTCAAGAAAACGAGTGCAGGATCAAGAATAAATGCGAAAGCAGAAATACGAAAGTAGCAAAATTTAAGTCACATATAGTGAAATCGGAAGAAAAAACATGCGCAGAGCAAGAGCATGCACAAAGCGTAAAAACGGCAATTATGTGACTTAGGGTGCAACTTAGTCGGGGTCATCAACCCCTGATTCTAGACAACTAGATAAATTCTTGTATCCAATGTGAGTTTAGATTCAGGCTAATCGGGTTAAGCTCAATTTACTATTATTTTAACAAAAAATTTAATTGGTCTAATAATATCTTCTCATCTTTCGGAGTAAAAGAAAGGGTGTTCTTAGCTCTCTAAAAATATCGTGGGAGTTCTTTTTTTTCAAAAAAAAAAAAAAAAAGTCAGGTCCTATTAGAATCGGACCACCTGAAGGCTGAAACCAGTGCAACCCCAACTCCAATTGCGGTAAAGTAATCGGGTTCTAAACACATATGTAACTGTCATTCTCATTCTTTCAAAAAAAAACAGGGGGGCTTTTAAAATGCAACCACAAATCAGATGGTCAAAAGTATTTAATCATGTCCCTGTAATGTTTGCATGGTTAAGGTTCCTATGATAAATATAGGAGATGGGTTGTCTGCACACAAATCCATTGGTTCAAATGTTATAAAAGCCAAACATATATTTAGAAAGTGCACCAAGGGTCTTGGGTAGTGGTATTTTCTTTCTCTCAAAGTAAATAGCGAGGATTCGAGTCTCCAAAGAAATAAAATGGGTGTAAGTTTCTTATCAATGAAAAAATATATATTTATATTAAGAAAGTGCATGAAGAAAAAAATCACTCATCCAATGTTAAAATTATAGAAACTTTGGAGTAATACTATCTACGTTTGCTGCGTTTGAGGTTGTCTCAAGGACAAGTGAATGTGGAAGTCATTTGCCACGAAAAAAAAAAATAATAAAACCTTAAATCTCTATTTGATATTAGAATCAAAAGATCACGAGTTTAAGTCTCTCGAAACAACCACAAACCATATCTTCCGACCAATAGAGAACTGTTTATCAACTCTCCTCCCTCTAAGCAAAAACAAACCGAAACTAAGGTAGATTCATCCTTTGATGTTATCACATAAGGAAACTAATCATGTGAATACAACAATTGCCTTTACAAACATATTTGAGGACAATAGGAACCACATATGAGGGCAAACCCCTACAGGAGTAATATTGTTCGTCTTAAATGTGATTTACGACTGCCGCCATGTTTTACCGGGAAAAAAAATATCTGTTGAGGGTGAGAACTAAAATCATAGTGTATACCTCAGTTGATATCTCCGTAGCCAATCTTCGCCCTTTTCATAATAGTCCATCTTACTGAATGTTTGCTGTGGGAATTGCATGGCAGCAGCATATGCAGCAGCTCCGCGCCATGCATCAAGAATTGGATCTGATGCTCTGATGACCTTTATAGGTGCCCCGCATGGTCGGATCGTCCGGATTCCAGCTTCTAAGCGCTTATCCATGCCAGGGAAAAGACAGCTCCCGCCAGTCAAAAGGATTGAATTAGTTATATTCTCCTCCAAGTCTTGGCTCTTAGACGGTGACCTCCTGATTGAAACCCCAGCCATCTCATCCAATCCTGCCTGGTCAATTCCAATTAAGTTGGGATGAAATAGAATTTCAGGGCACCGAAATCTTTCTACCCCAAGTACAATCTGGAAATCTTCCTTGGTGAGAGGACGGAGCCGTGGGACTTCAGAAACAGAGGACCCTAATTCTGATTTGGAGACGAAGGTTGGGTCTATGTCCTGTAACAAGAAGGATCCGGGTTTTGATGAATGACACATCTTAAGTGACTAACAGAGACAGTGGATAGGACGAATGGTAAGATATAGTTGCAAGTCATAGAATAGATAACTTACCCGGAGCCTAGAAGAGATGCGAGTCAGCTCTGCTTCATCTTCATCTTGTCCCTCGTCATCATCATCATTATCTTTGCTCATCAGCTTGTAGAGTTGCCAATCTTCATCTTTGATACCGAAAGTATCCTCACCTTTCCCTCGATCAAATGCTGCCGTTGTCAAGAGGCGCATCCTTTCCTTCTGCGCAGCATTCAGTCTCTCTCCACGCCCAACACCTCCTGACATATTATTATTCCCATTTGTGTGGCTGCCATTAGTCTTGAGTCGTTTTCGCTGCTCAACTTTCTCAGAAAGCTCTGTGTGTTTAGTTCGCAACTGCTGCAAATAAAGCTCTGGGTTCTCTCTACATTTAAAGAAATTGGGAAAGAATCAACAAAGAGAAGGTATAATTGTGCAAAACAGAATTTCACACGTTGACTCATATCTTCAATAACATTAAGATCATTAATGTGAAATCTAAGGTGTTCCTCATGTATTGAAGATAAAAGAGCATTCCAGTAAGATCCAGATGTAATAGAGAATGTTTTCCTCCTCAAACACCCGACTTCTAAAGAGTTCTACAATGGATATAAGATAAAGAAACTGTACGAGCTTGACAACTTACAGGCGTTTTTCTTCATCTTGTTTGTTCAGCCTTTCTCTTTCTAATTCCTCTTCGAAGCGTTTCTGTTTGGCTCGCTGCCGACCCTCAGAGGTGGTTTTTAGAAACAATTGCTTCCTCTTTTCCTTGAGCTGTCAAGGAGACAGATATTCAAGAGTAGGTATAACCAACATAAACACCCAAAAAGAAAACATAATTGCAACAATGAACTACATTCTCATATCTAGGCAGAACTCTCTGCATCACATTCAAAAAAATTTAACAGCAATTGACCAGGAACAAACCCAAAAATTCTGTGAAAGATATAGTTGTTCAGTTATGTGTTTGTTAACTTCAGTAAAAATCAAGTAAGAAGTTATCAGAGCATAAGAATATATTAGGACTCCCTATTATGTTTCAGGTGACAACATAAAGTGAGTGCCAAAATCATCAGCAGTTCTAAATTGAAGAGGCTTTTGATAAGCCATTTGATGTTATAGCGTACCTGTTCCGGCGTCAGCATGTCATCAGGAGTATTAATAAGGGTATACTTTTCAGCCGTGGAAGAATCCATCTTCTCCTCGCTTTCAATTTGTTCGCCCTTTGCTTTTTTTAAAGATTGTGTTACTTTCGCAAGAGCAGATTCTATTTCCTGCTTGGAGACATAACCAGTCTCTGCGAGAAAAGATGGAATGTCATTCTCTTCCACATGCTTTAGCTGCTGTAGAAGAAATTCCAGACCCTTTGATTCATTTTCTAGTTCATTTATCCTTGAAGACCTTTTTGCCTCAGCCATTTCCCGCAACCTTTGACCTTGCCTCTCCTTCAGAGCTTGCTTTCTAGCAATCTCCTCCTCTGATGGTAGCTCTTCAACTGGTGTTGGAGTCCATGGAAGCTGCCAACACCTGGTCTTCTCTTCAGCTTCCTTGGCCCCTTTCTGTCACAATGATTAGCAACATTGAAATTCAGAAACTGAAGAAAAGAGAAGCTGAAAGAAAAGCAAATAGCTTGTTACCTGAAATAAACGAACTTCTGAAGCATAATCTGGCGCAATATAGCAGTGTTCCATTTTCAGGTCTTCAACCTTCTCCCATGTAAGCCTAGACCTGTTTGAGCATTATACAAAAATTAAAAAAATGACAAACCATGAAGTTATTGTGTAATAAGTAGAATATTAAAATGGTTGTGCTCACATGTGATGAGGGTATTTAAGTGAAAGAAGTTGCTTTAAGTAATCGGTGACGTGGTATCCACCAACATTTGTTCGGCAGCATGCTTCATAAACAGGCTCTCCATTAACAAACTGAAATTGAAATAAACAAACGTCATTATTATCACTCTTTCCATCTACATCATCCACTCTTAGTTTTGGGCACATTCATCTACATCATCCACTCCCATTAACAAACTGAAATTGAAATACACAAATGTCGTTATCATCACTGTTTCCATCTACATCATCCACTCTTAGTAGTTTGGGCATATTCATCTACATCGTCCACTCTAAATGATTCAAATGATAGATGAATCATGAACCAATGTAGCAAAATTGAACGTAAAAATGATATATAAGAAGGTTGGATGTGGTGTAGACAAAAATAAATCAGATAACAAGGCATAGGTGCACTTGCAGATGTGCATCCATATGTGAAATCAGAGAACAAGACATGAGCGCACATACAGACACGTATGCATGAGCATACAGGAGCATGCGTGCACACGCAGAGAGATAGAGAGAGCGCAATTATGTACTAGCACTTGACCAACATATCAGACCATGCATAACTCACCACTGGTAATGATAACAATAGCATGAATGGTGATTGGCCTTACAATCACAATCACTACAGCAGCATAACAAGACTTGTAAAGAAATCTACAAGCACGTGATCATTTATGACTTCTTTATTCACAGTCACAATCATGGCAAGGTACATTTTAGATAATCAAATATACAATTGAATAATAACCACCTCAATTCTGTAAATATAACTGCTAGCATGTCCAGTACTAACTTTAGAAAAAAATAAGGTCAGCAAAGCATACTGGAACAACATGACTTGTGGTAAATCCTGAGCTGATTGCAAGACCATTTGGATCACAAAACCCAAGTTGTTGATTATATTTATAACTGAAGGCAGCATCAACACCGAATGCTGTAACCAAATAAAGGATAGACAGGTTAATTAGGCATGGCAAAAACAACAATACAAGTGTAAATACACATAGAAAGTAATGTAAAATGAAGTATCAAATCGATGGGTATAAGTGTTAGCAAATATGATAGCCACGATTTATGGAATGACTTACCGTATTAGAATAGATCTGATTATGATATAGAATATGCTTTAGAATATTATGTGATTTGATTTTATTTCCTTTCTTGTAATATGAGCATGTGTTTTTTTTATCTATAAATACTAGAGTTGTGAATGAGTGATCATCTCATTCAAGCCTTTACACAATTCTCTCATTTTTCTTCTATATTGTATTTCTACTTGGTATCAGAGCCAAGGTGATCCGACTGTAATGAGGGCATTGCGAGTTCGGCACCACCCATTTGGGAATAGTCTAAGGTGAGATCGCCCATCCAGGAAGTGTCGGATAGGCAGGGTGATCTGACCTCAAAGAGGGTGTTGCGAGTTTGACACCACCTTTTCAGAAATGGTCTGAGGAGACATGGTTGTTTCTTTTTATGGTCTGGGGAGACATTGTTGATTCTTTCATCTACATTGTTTAAACATATGTATGAAGGGGAATGGTCTGAGGAGACATTGTTGATTCTTCCATCTACATGTTTTAAACATGTGTATGAAGGAAAATGGTCTAAGGAGACATTGCTGATTATTTACGGTCCGAGGAGACATGATTGGTTGTTTACGGTCTGAGGAGACATTTTTGATTTGTTGATTGGCACTTCATTTGAGAGAAAATCATCGCTAGTCAGATTTGCACTCTGCAACTTGTAATTTCTGAAGAAGGGTGCTAGCAATACCGTGTTTGAAGATGCATTGTCCAAGTTGGGCATCTCAAATATTGACGCACCAACTTGAGGGGGAGTGCTAGCAAATATGATAGCCACGATTTATGGAATGACTTACCGTATTAGAATAGATCTGATTATGCTATAGAATATGCCATAGAATATTATGTGATTTGATTTAGATTTTATTTTATTTCCATTCTTTGATTTAGATTTGATTTTATTTCCTTTCTTGTAATATGAGCATGTGCTCTTTTTTATCTATAAATACTAGAGTTGTGAATGAGTGATCATCTCATTCAAGCCTTTACACAATTCTCTCATTTTCCTTCTATATTGTATTTCTACTATAAGCAAATATATAAAGGGATTGAACCAACAAAGAATGTACAGGTGAAACGAAAGCAAAAGGTCCAGATGATCACACCCAAGCCAACAAGAACGAGACAATTCATTGCCCACTAAAACATGGTAGACCATGCGTTCTATTGATAATTGTTAGACTTGAGCATTCCACATAACCTAAAAGTTCATAAAGGTGTGGAAAGGCTTTATGTAACTGATAGATAATGCTCTGTACCTACTGAAGGAACTCCATATGACTCAAAAAGAAGCTCTGCCATTTTACTGCGAGACTGAACTGGGTTGCATGCACATTCAGTAATCAGGACAGGATGGTCAATCTGTACTGCCCTCAAATTGGAACAAAAAAAAATGTTACACAAATATAATATAATACAAGCTGAAGCCTTTAGATCATGATATGCAGCAACTAAATATTAAATTGAACCAGATATGCATCATAAAGTAAAAATATGAATATCACAGTGCCAAATGCTGTATGAGAAGTAATGCATTTGGAAAGCAATATAATAAATTAATCTATTTTACTTGCACAACATTTTAAATATACCACTTCTATTCTAGCCAACATTTATGATGAGTTTATATGCTTTCCACCAACTCCAAAATAAGATCATGCAGGATTTCATTAGATGCCCATTTTCTAATTGTAACTCCATTACATTTTCAGTTCCACGTGGCAGAATTGTTAATTAGATTCTACTAAATCAACTTTGAATCATAAATTTTCCACATTCTCTAAATGCCCTATACACTCTATGTGGATATTACTCGACACCAGCCTCACTTTTAAAGGAAACTGGAGCAGAAGCAGTAAGTATCAAATGGCAACTAATAATGGTAAAAGTTATTTTAATTTTTTAATTGACATATCAACCATGAATATGTATGCTCTTCTAGACAACAAAACAATGCATTAAAAGGAAATGGAGATATACCTCTGATTGATCTGCACCCAATCGATCAAACCCAAAGTCAAGAATCTACAAATTCAAGAAACGTGTAAAGCTACAAAACTAAAATGATATTAGTAATTTAAAATGCACATAGTCACACACGTTATCATCCTCTCATCTAACAGTCTGCTGTATACTATCGTATATGAATTTGCAACTATGAAGTCATGCCAACCTCTGGAGCGATGCACAAAATTTTAAACTAACAGACAAAAAGTAAAAAAAAAAAAAAAAAAAAAAGGCTACATTGCTTCAACTTTTCACTTGAATATACATTGTTTATTGCATTTCTCAATCCTATACTCAGCATTTCATCGAGTGTATTGTCACCCGTGCAGGGAGTCACACAACAGCAGGCGACATGCGAGCGTCGAGGACTTTGCATGGCGTTTGCTTGGCATATGGGGAGAGTGGGTTCTATAGTCTTCCACACTTGCGTAGAGTGTTGTGGAGTGTTGGAGAATTCTATAAAGTTGTAGTAATATGTAGGGTAGAAAATATTCTAAAAATGTAGAGAACTATGGAGAGTTGTAAATATCTAAATATTTTAGAGGAGACTTCTAGACAGTAGATCTTAGTCATCCATTGTAATGCATTCTAACTGTACATTAGTGAGGAAGATGCCTATATACAGGATAGAAGTCTCATTTGTAACTAACAACTACTAAAAGTGAGTTGTGAGTGTGAGTGTTATCCTTGTAAAAGGATTGTAATACAAATATGATATGGCCCCAATATGTTAAATGATAGTATTTTATGCGATGATATGGGAATATGTTAAAGGATGGTATTTTGGGTGACAAACATTTGCCAGAAATAGATCGATTTAGATCTCGTAGGTTTAGGTTTACTAATACGATAGGATTAATATTAGATCCTAAAGTGCAAGTACTAAAGTTTTAAAGTGTAACTAATAAAGCTACTTGAAAAAATATTAGATCTGAAAGTACAAGTAATAAAGTTTTAAAGTGTAACTAATAAAGCTAGTTGAAAAAATATTAGATCCTAATGTACAAGGTTAAAGTGTAACTAATAAAGCTACTTGAAAAAATATTAGATGAAAAAATATTACAATGATGAGTGTGCTATGTATCATCAATCAATAAATAGAAAAGAATTTCTATAAAGATAGAGAAGATGACATTGGAAAGCCCTTATTTTCTAAACACTAAACAACCCGATATCACTTCATCACACCCTAATTTATTTCATGGAACTGTGTTTTTTATTTTGTGTTTCACCTGTTTAAGCTCAATACATCATCAAAAAAAATCTCAAAAATGGAGAGACAATCATAAGTTATGATTGATGAAAAGTTCAAAAGTTAGACCTATATGATAAGATACAACATATTTTCAGAGATATACAACATGCTAAGGAATTTTCCCTACTAAAACTGTATTAAACTTACATATTCCATAATCTCAAACTGGTAAACAACATTGCTATCAAAAGCTGAACGGGGTCCCGAACGCGTGCAATCGAAGTATTTCAACAATGCAGGATCATGGTCACCAACAATTGTGACAGTTTCACCTGGATAAAGTACAAAGGAACTGATTCAACCAACTCAACCTAGAGAAAATGTCCAAACACATGAAACCCAATTGTGCATAACACTAGAAGACAACGTCAATTTCTTTTTTTAGAGGGAAGAAGAGAGCCAAGATAAACCATAGAGGAAACTTGTTTGATAATCTCAATACAAACCAGAGAGGAAATTTGTTTGATAATTGTATCATCAAGTAGCCACATTAACCAAGATCAAACCTATCCCTAAGCCCATGTCACTAGAAGCCAAATTAGTGAGATTGAATAAGTTAGCTATTAGTGTAAGCGTGTTCTACATTCATGTACATTACCCAAGGGTCAACAATAACAACAATAATAATACATATTGTCCAAAATGAAAAGCTAAATACTGCGAAGGAGCTATTTTCATGCTCATTGCTAGAGAACAAAGAGTAGCACGCAAGTAAAGAACATTCATAGATAAGGTCAAAAGCACATTCATCTTTCCCATACACACTAAACACCCCATATGGATAAATAATATAATACCGTGAGGAAAAACACATACAAAACTTAAATTATTGTCTCTAGTGAGAGCCAAATAGATATTCTATTATGTACTCACTAGCGCGAAACCACAGGAGACATGTAACAACAGAAAGATTTCCCAAATAACTTAATATGGAAGCACTAAAAGGAAAAAAGGAATAAAAAAATATTCAAAAGCAGTAAATTCCTCATGTTATGAAATCTAGATGGCTTCTTGGAAAATCATCCCCATACAAAGAGATCGGTACATTTTCCATGATAAGTGAACTCTTTTAAATGAATGAACTACATGTGCTGATCACAAAAATACTGCTATGGATATGTCTGACATGCTTATGCTCCACTCTCTCACCTTTTACCCAGGTCGAAATGACATGGACTCCAATTACAATTCCTTAACATACATGTCAGCCTTGTAACAATTTGGATAACTTTACACTCGAAAATTGTTCATAAATATGAGGAACTATTGTGCTTAGTCACTAAACAGCAATCTAACCGAGGGAACGATCAAATTCCACACTCCAAGATATGACCATCTAAATCAAGTTTATCTGACCCACTGTACTTTTTCCACATTAGTGTAGCAGTACAACCCATGTTCTATGATTCACGCTTCACATGACGCAGGAATAATTTAATTGAAGTTTAAGAGCAAATAATATTGAAGTCCATATATCTCGATTTTCCTGAGTATCAAAAACCTTGTAATGAAAATTCAGAAGAACAAGGCCCTTAAATTGCTCTTTCAGCATCAACCTGTCAATACTGCTGCATCTTGCATAATCTTATGACTCTTGTCTCGGAATTTTTTTATCTAAATATGTGTGTGTGCATAAAAACATTAAGAACAGGTGAAAATAGTGTACAGGTCATGAGAAAAGTCACGCATTAAGAACAGGTGAAAACAGTGCGCAGCTTATTAGGAAACATGACCCAAGTTTGTGCTAAATATTTGACGAAAGTAGGTGTTCTTACAGCTTTTATCCAGAATTACGAATTCTGAAAAATCGAAGAAAGCCAAAATTGAAAAATTTATACAATAATGAACTCACTTATAGAAACAGAACGCAATTTAAGGGAATAAAGAGTTCGAATGAAAAAAATTAAAAACAAAAACAATAGCTCACGATTGACATAGTTGCGAAATTCACACTAAAGTTAAAGAAAACAAAATAAAAATAGAATAGCTCAAGTGTTGGAGAATTGTGTGTACCGGTGGTTTTGTGGCGTGGCCTCTGAACAATGTTTCGGAAGATAATGCGAGGGTCAGTCTCTCCTGCCCATCTACAAAAACATGAAATTATATCGTGAGTATATATATATATATACAAAATTGTTGATCTATATAATCGATAAGAATTTTTTTATCGTACCCAATTCGAAAATATGAACCGCCATTATCGATGACGATGGGGCAAGACGAAGAGAAGAGACTGTAGTCTGATTGACGGTGGTTTTGGGATATGAATGGCATTCTTGGGTGTTTTGCCCTAGTTTGCGATGAGCAAAGCAGGAAAGCAGCTCTCAGCAGATGGCTAGTTCGGAGAAGGTGGGTTATGTAAAGGTGCGTTTGGCAAGCGGATTACCCAGTGCCTGGTTAGGATTTATCTACACTCTTGCCAGTTATTCTAACCAAGACTAGAGTAGGTACTTTGTAGCTTGACTTAGGGTTTCAAATTTCAAATGATCTAAACTTGATTTGATGAAATTAAAATTAAAAAAATAAAATAATATGATTCAATGAATTTTAGTGGGAGGTATAATTAGGATTCGGACGAAAATAAAACACTGCAACGAAAGGTAAAATTAGAGTTAGAAATCACTTTGAAAAATATAAAGATTGTTTGATTGTTTTTTCTGAAAAAATAAAGTTTGTTTGATTGTATTTTAGATAATTATAGAAGTTAATTATGCTAAAATTATTTTTTTTCTTTGAATTTTCAGAAATTGTTAACTAGAAAGATATTTGTAAAAAAAAAAATTCTCATTTTCAATTCTTATGAAACGAAAAAATAAAAAAAAATAATTGGAACTAAACAAGTTCTAAATATCTTGAAATTTAGCGTAGTCCTAAATCTATGTCATATATTTGTTATTCACTAAGGAAAATATTTTTTTTCACGTAAAATATTATTTTATTTTTATTTTGTGGGTATTTGGTAAATGTTTACGTCGAGATTGAGGTCGAGTCCATCAGGCGGGCATGTAAAATAATTTGTCAAAAATTGATGAATAAATTGTTTTTATTATTTAATATTTTTTTTCTTTGTAAATATTTTACGACAACTAAACACAAAAAATAAAAAATATATTTTTTGAAAAATATTTTATGTCCATTGAGCCAAGTAGTTTCATGGTCTGAGACATTCATTTCCAACTCAAGAATTAGTTGTTTGCACGCCAAATAACTGGTTTACGATTCTATTGGGCCCAAGAAGTTTCATGGGCTCGGCTTTGATTAGAGTACTAGATATATGGGCTTACAATCGACTAGACCAATTAATAATGGACTGGATCACCAACATTTTTGCCACAACCAAACATCTTCAGATATTGGGCAGAAAACGTAGTGTCATAGTGTCCGTACGCTTTTTTTTGGGGGCCCCAGTACGTGCTTTATTTAACCTCAAGAATCTTGAATCACACTTTATTTCGACATTGGACCCCTCGTACTGGTTCTTAATAGGCCCCTGGCCCAATTGTTGTCTTGTGATGTTATAATCTTAGAGATTTAATAGTACGATTGTGCTACACATACTTTACCAAGGGTCATGAAATTTTAAAATCAAAGATGCCTTCGGTTTATATATTATAGTGTGTGTATATATATATATATGAAAAAGTAGTATCACATATTGTCCTTAATTTCTTAAGACAAGAATTTCTTCATTTATCTCTGCAACTAACTAACAACATTTGTTAGACCTCTGTGAACATATATGCACTCTAGATTTTTTTTTTAAGTAATCCCGTATCCAGGACTTTATCAGGACTGTATTCTTAAAACGCCATTTAAAGGTATCATTCATATAAGTTGGATAAAATTTAGGTTTTCACTCGTGAGTTTAGTAGTAATAGTGTCATCGAAATATGAAATTACTGCAATGACATAACATTATGTTATGTGAATGAATATGCTACACCACAACATATAACATGATAATGTGGAATTAATATTGAGCTTTGTAGCAAAAGTTTAATTAGGCAATAAAACTTGAGCTCCTATATATATCTAGTTATTACTTCATTTGTTTTTTCAATTTAATCATATATAGAAGAATATCCTGGTCACCTTTCATTCTAATCCTATATTCTGAATCACCAACCTCTGTTTCACTCAATGAACAAATAACAATCAAACAAGATAATTGCTTTGACTTCTCACTTGACAATTTAGCAATCAAACTGTCACTTAAAAATGTTAAGATGATCAATGATGTATATTTTAATTCCAAGGGATTGGCCTAGTATAATAGATTTGGGCCCAGTGTCCTCACGAAGGTTTAGGTTTCAAATTCGATTATTCGTAGGCATGAGTAATTTTTTTGGATTACAATTGTGGACATAGTCCGAATCTTATCTAATTCTTGTGGGAGTCGCCTTGTACGAATCTCATAGATTAGTCATGACAAAATTCCGAACACTTCGATTATCGAAATAAAAAATATTATGATGAAGACACACTCACATGAACACGTATTTTAATGATTCAGTTTAAGAAATAAGAACACGATTTTACAAATGAAAACGCGTACATCATAGCATGTGCTTGCAACCAGGGATGGATTGAATGTAATTTTTTTTTTTATTTTAAGTATTATACAATAGTAATTTTACCCAAAAAAAAAATTCCAAATTTTACTTTCCTCACACAATTTCCTGAGTCCTGCCCTGCATCCTCGTATATTAGAGTTCGCATGCACGCATGGCATCACGGATGGATTGATGATACATCATGAAACCATCCCCTGCATCATTATGGATGTGATGACTGTCTCCACACAAGAGTACCATCCGAGGATCTACAATCTTCATACTTTGTGTGTGAGGATTGTGGACCCTTAGATCCACTCACCTGAAGGTAACAAAAGTGATGATGCATGCATGAGCTTTTTATTACCACTTCAACACTGCAGATGGTGTTAAACCGATCTATTTATTAATCAGATTCCCAGGTGAAGCCAAACTTTCCCATCTCTTTGATCGTATGATGTGATTTATTTGTCACCACACGACACCCTAAATATTCTTCATTATTCCACTCACTACGCCCACCAATTGCAACTCCACATGATGTTATTATTTTCCCCATTATCAATTCATTTTATTTCATCATATAATTATGTAAAAATAATTATTACGTGGTATTACAATATGAGTAATAAAATATTTCTTCACCCATCTATAATATTCAGAATATTGTATTCAGATATTTAAAATTTACGTTCAATAATTAATTTTTAGATTATAATCATGATTTACAGTATAAATTATAATTACGGTATTCGTCAAGTCATAATCGTGATTTGTAATACTTATTATCGATCATAATTACGGTATAATGAATTTGAACAAAATTAATATAAACTAACCAATACAAATCATATATAGAATTTAAAAAATTGATCCGTAATACAATAATATTACATTGTATAACAGATATATGAATTCAAAAAGAGAGAGAATTGAAAAGCAGAAGTCAAAAGAAAGTAATGCTACGAGGTATAGTGTTTAATTTTGGCGTGTAGAAGGAGAAATAAGGGCAGGTGAAAGAGGTAGGCTAAGGACATTCGTGATTTCCAAATAGAGTAAGGCTATGCCTATGAGTCTGAGCTATGTATAGAATTGCGATACAACATGGGTACTATTGTCAGTCTTTCCGCGAAATTTATGGGTTGCTTTTCAAAATCATATCTAGACAGCTTATTATTAATTGTGAAAAGTTGATTTGGTTCTCAGTTTTTCATCTGCAGATAAGACAAATTATTTTGAAACTATATATTTTACCCAAAAAAAAATTAAGAAAGAAAAGTAGGACTTAGGTGACAATTTTTCCTAAATTACTCTTGTAGTCTTGCTAAAAAGAACTCCCGCAAATCATCATAAACTGTCTCTCTCTCTCTCTTCTCTCTCTCTCTCCCTCTCTCTCACACACACACACATCAAGTATGAATATTTGAGCTTTAGCCGACTGACCCTTCTCTCTCCTCTCCATTCGGCGGCGAGGAGGGTTATTGGGGGCGCATGTGATGATGTGAAGAGGATGATCTAGTCATTATCCTCCTGTATAAAAGTAAAAGCTTTTGTTTTTAGTATTATAGATTCTAAAATCAAGAAGAAATGTGATACGACATACAATATAATAATATATCCAATACATAGGGGTTAGCTATGTTTAGGTTTCAAAGCTAACCTAAGAGATACATTAGTTTCTCCGAAGCGCATTACTGGTCTGCTTGATTTACCCCAGGGTCAGGGTCCAAGGCATGGACCTTTTTCCTCGTGATACTGTAAGGCTGTGTTTGGCTCACATGAATTAATCTAAATCAAAAAATTATCGGATGGTCTTTTAATTTCTATCACAAGTCACTTAGTGGTTTAGTACAATCAAAACGCAGCTTCAAAGTTCTTTGCATTTTCTTTTTTGAGTTGGAAAATGAGGGTTCATTTTGAATTTTTGAAGTTTTTCTCAAAGTCTTGTGCCTTTTTTAGGAATTTAGTTGGGCCACTTTTATAATTATCAAAAGTTGCGTATAGATAATACAAATAATAGAAAATTCAATATCAAAGGAGGGGCCTTTTTCCAAATTTTGATTCTTAAAAGTTTTGTGTGACACATGAGTATATTTTCTAAAATTTTAAAATCTTGATGGACAAATAAGTTAAAAAATTAGGGATTTTTTTAAATTTTAGCCTTCCTGTTTTTTAAAAAAATTTGTGAATATTTTAAAATTTTACAGGAGGCACTTTTATAATATTAAAATTTGTGTATAAAAAACACTACCTCTATTCCAAAATTTAAAAATTGTCCATCTTTTCTTTTTTGGCTGTACTAAAATAAATATTTAATTTGATAAGTTAAAGTATTATTTATTTGTAACATTACCAATTAATCTTTCTTACATTGAATTTAAACCATCGTGAACCATCCTCATTTCTGAGTTCCGAACCTAATAAAAAATGATCGGAAATAAACCAGATGATTAATTTATGGAGTATGAGTATGTGTTTAATAATAAATCACTCACAATAAAACGAATCCTTGTATGTTATATAGGGTTATATTAAGAGTGTTGAACCTCAAGGACCATACTCTCTTTTTACAGGATTTGATGGAAAGGGATAATTCATCTATAATACTCAACCATAAGCACCAACACTTTGTTCCCTTTCACATTCCTTAGAGTACCCTTGTTGGGCACTTCCCAACCGCAATACCTTAATCAAGGTACCTTTGAAGTCACTAAAATATTTTAATGTATATAAATTGAATCTTTGAAACGGAACAAGTAAATCTTGAGGATGCCCATCAAGTGAACTGTACAAATGACAATTTTAGTAAAAATTTGAGTCATCCAAAACCACTTCAAGTGAAGACAAGAGAAATGAC